TCCTATCAAGTGTATATATGTAGGTTATAGTGTAGCATTGAGTTATATTTCCTAGCAGTGTGTAATCAAGTAAAAACATGTTGGTATATAAATTCCACTATTGCAATTATTCACTGAAAGCCTTGATTCTAATATTCACTTTTTAAATATTAACTTTGAACGTGAAAAGTGAGCTCTTGAGGGCTGCTTCAGTACACACCATATGCAAATATGATTTAATGCCTACCAATATCAGACTCAATAAATTGTACCTGACCCTGAAAGTAACAACATAAACCACAATAATAAAGGTTTTCAAACTAGATTTTCGTGATGTGTCAACAGGTTTAGGGCAAAACCTAGGGTAACTATTTCTCCCTGCCACCATACTGAGCTACACTAGACGTGTCTACCACCGCCCACTTATCAGATACACTTTGTAAATAAGCTTAGCAGGGGGAGGTTTTCATGAGAGAATGAATATGGATTTGAAGTAGTTTGAGGAAATGGGGGTTTTGTTGGTGCTTCTAGCTGAGTCACATTTGAGTGCCTTCTTTGTCCTCTTCCTTCACCAACAGTCTGTGGCGTTGTGCTGAGGCAGAGACAGAGAGCCTGACTGACATGTGATGGCTGGTCATCAGGCCCATGAGCCTCCTCACAGCTGGGTCAAACGCCGTGTCGAATGCCAACGACAACTGCTGTCCCCGGCCACAGCCCTGTCACATGATCAACACCACGTTGCTAACCGTAGCAGTAGTTCCTTGCTAATGCTGCTGCCAGCTCCTGAAGACGGATATTTGGTGGGGAATTGGTTTCAATATGAACCGAGCCAACAGAAATACTGTATATCGCTCTAAAAGAAAGCTGATGGTGCTTCCAATGTACTGTGTAAACAGGCAATGTATTCAAATGTACCAGTCCCAACTTATTAATGTAGTACCGGAGGCAAAAACAATGTATTGAAAAAACAATGAAGCAGTCTACGTAACGTTGTAAAAAGCTAATTACACACAGGTTTAGATGAACTGTAGTGAGTGGAGTTTAAGCACTGGTTTCATGTGTTACTGACCAGCTCAAATGTCAGTTGTCATTGGGAGCATCGATTTCAAGTAGTGTGGCCCTGCCTGCCGACTAATTGGCTCAGTAGCTTTCTGACGGGAGCAAAGGTGTCAGGTGACACAATGTAAAGTGCGACGTAGTCCGCTTGGGGAAGTGCTTGCCGTGGAAGGATCGGTCAAACAAACATACAACTCTCATCCATGTTGACTAATTTTAGGTGAACCTCCCTATACAATTTAAGTTATGTAATACATTATTAACAAATTAAAAACCTATTTTAACCTGAACCTCTCTTTTCCAAAACATGACCAGGCAGTTTAATTCAACTAGAAACCAATTCTTCAAAAGAGAGACCCTTCAATTGACCAATGTCACAGTTGAGTATTTACAAACATACTGGAGTACATCATTTTCATCCCGAATCTCAGTATTAAATAACTCAATCACGAAAACACATGTTTATGTTCTTGATATATGATGCCCATGTATCAATGTATGCAGAGTCTGTCTAAAGGTCATACATGTGACTGTGCCGTAGACTGTTGCCACATGGCTGCAGGGATTGCAAAATGTTCTGTGACCTTATTAATATTGTGGCGCAGGCTCTCGCTGCCTGTCGCCGTCTCTGTGATTCTGACGGACAGCTCACAGGTGTGTGGCTTATCCCGGCTATATTTACAAAGGTCATAGATGGTGAGGCATGATACCGGCGGGGATCTGATTACTTCACCAATGGTAGGTACATCTCAAGAACGTGTTCATCCCTGCCTTGAAAGAAAGCTTTTGAACAGTCTCTATTTGCCTTATGTAATGGTCAAAATGTGACTCATAAATATTGCATTGCCTGGACTTCAAAACAGGATGCGTACCAGCAGGTGGCTGGCATGCAGACAGGAAGTGGATTGTTTAAACATAACTTCACCTCATAGTTGCCACCATTTCGGAAAGATAAACACAAAGTTGCTTTGTCTATTATGTCTAAGAGCATTCCCTGAACAGCAAGAACCAGGAAATGCAATTCCTGGAATAGTTTCAGATAAACTTAGCCTCACCATGCCAAAACTTGCCAAACACCAACTTAACCCCCCCTGCTGTTCCCACATGAGGAGACTCTCCTCCACATTTCCTTCTTTCTTGCTTTATCTTTGTCATCCCAAATGCAGCTGTTTCCCAGAGTGCCTGCAGAGTGAACTGTTGGTAGTCAGGAAGGATGGATAGACACTGACGGGGAGGTTCAGGCTCTCAGCGGAAACACCACGGACGAGTGTGGCAGCATCGGTTGTAAACAGATGGTGACTGGGATCAGACCATGAGGAGGTGTTTGTGGAACTGAGTCCTTTATATTCCTATGTTGTCCACCTGTGGGGTCAATACTTTGTTACAACGGAACGGTTTGATTCTTCCTCTCTGGTAAAGGGGGGGGGCCCATAAGGCTAGATATATACTCAAATGCAGAATCTATTAACTCACTTCATTTGGAGATGGAACTCGAATCGATGTTTCCATGACAAGTTCCCATGAATAGATACTAAAGAAATTAAGAATCTTTTATAAAAATGTTCTCGTAAAGGCACCTAACTAAAGGTAATCTGTTCATGGATTTTTAGAATATTCTTTTTTTCTGGCGGCATTTCACTGTTGAACCCAGTTGTATGATTTGAAAGCTAACTTCACTTTTCAGCCAAACATCCAGGAGCTGTTTTTGATTCTTCCTTTAAACTTTCAGGAGTACACAGTCACTTTATCAAGGAATAGCATTAAAACAACTTAAGGATCTAATATACAAATTACAGTTGACTTATTCTCCACCGGGCATAAAAAGAATATCTTTGTCCCTACATTTGATCCGTTCAGATTATTTGAAAAAACACCTCTGCTGTCAAGTGAAAGTATTTCTGTGTTAAGTCTTTATAACAGAGTCATACTTCTTCCATGCATTGTTTGACAAGGTGTGTCGTATGGCGCGACATTCATACAGAGTAACTGAATACTAACACTGCAGCTGTGGAAATGAATGATTATTGTACTCTGGGATAATATCAGGACGTGTAGTGAGAAAAACTAGGAGACCGTACAGCTTCCTTTGGCGACTCGAAACAAAAGTCATATTTATGTGAAGTATGATTACAAAGAATAATGTAAACTTTTCTTTCCACTTTAACGTACTGAATGTTTGAAAGCGGATAAGACCACATTGAGGGACTGATCCACTTATCAAGATCCCAGACGCTAGAAGACAATACTTGTCTTCATATCAGGGAAAAGGATTCTAGTTTGAAAGCTGGTTTTAAGCTTTACTGAAATAATGCGATGTGGATGTGACCCATATAACCTTCTTAAACTCGACCTGTCGCATATGCTGTATGATTCATGGGTTAATCTCAATTTGTGGTAGAATTGAGGAAATCCTACAAATATGCAATAACTGATTACAACGTTTATAAGCAACATAATGTTTCCTCCATCCATATGTCATCTATTATTTTAAAGCTATACTCATCAATATTTCTATTGCCACATGCAAAGAAGTATACAGCGTTACATTAGAAGAAGGCCTCACTTCGTCATCCTGTGAATAGACTTTATGTTTTGGAATGCAATAAGGATGCTGTCTGGTACGCAAGCATGAATGCTGGATATAAAATCTAACTATTAGCATTTAGGTTGTTAATCAGGCTTTGTGTTCTACGTTATATTCCCGGCTGCTCATGTCAGCCACAGATTATAAATAGACTGTGGGCTAAACTGAGGGGCACTCATGACATGGGGAAACTTTCTGCCCTCCCCCCCTCCCCCCTGCACATACACACACACACACACACACACACACACACACACACACACACACACACACACACACACACACACACACACACAAGCACACACACCTACACTCAGGGGTAATTTCTATTTTGCTGTCATCCCTTGATAATATCCCTAAACACAGCTTCATGGGAACTCCGTAATCACTGTTTGGGTCATCTCAGGACTGTTAGCGTGGGACTGCATGGGCTACATATTAAATTATTCTTTGTCACTCATCTGCAGGACAATGATTCAGGCAAGGGCAATGTGTTTGTAATTACATGTGTAGACCTTGTAACCTAACCCAGATGAAAAGACAAATTAAGAACTATTTATGGACAAACCTCACCTCACCAAACATTATGCCATTTCATCTCCAACGTCTGTAATTGTGTTTCTCTATTGCTGAATAACTGTCATTATTTCCAGGCTTCAAGAATCAATAACATCCCTTTACTGTTGTTATTATATTTTCCAGCAGAACATGAAGTCATTGTAGGTGTGACTGGCAAGGTAAAGTTTATTACCGAACAATCTAGCTTCAAGTTAGCTACATTAAACTATAGGGAAACCGGACATTTTTGGCCCCTTCGAATTAAAAACTTCGAATTTTGAATTATAGTATTAATATTGTGGTTAGTAAATCAACTATACAGCATGTTAGATGAATAATCAAATGTAATATTTCCCTTGTTTCCCGGTTCAATCAATGCCCAAAATAAAATACTCACGCACACAGTTCGACTATTGGTTTATTTCCCGATGTCCAAACCTTCTTTTCTGATCCTAGTTGAATTATGTTATTTAACGACTTTCCGCTTAATCCGGACCCTTCACACAAAAGCACTCCGTATCTCTCTAAATGTATTTACAATATGTCATATGCTGCTTCCAGTAATACTACACACGATTTTAAAATAATACTGGCGAACTAAATACATGTATAAAGGCTTTTGTTTCCTTTGAATTGTATCCGTGGCAGTGGGTTGATACCTTTGGAACGTGATTCAGACCTTTGTTCTGCTAAATGCAAAATAAATCCTGACTTTTGCCACACGATTGACAACTTTAATTCAAAACACGCTTTATTGTGAAAGTCTTTCTCTTCGGCTTCCGCTTTCCTCTGACTGGCTAGCTTGACTCCGGCTCGCTGGGCGTGTGTTTGTTTTGTAGCCCGTACAGGAGTGAGGAGGCGCCGGGGAGCAGTGGAGCTGTCACGGCAGCAGGTGCGCTTTCTCGGTCTCTTGTCCCGGGTGGAGACCCAGCGAAGGGACAGCGGGCTGCGCACTTCCTCCGCGTCCACGTTTGTCCCCTCTGAGCAGCCATGACTTCTGTGTGGAAGCGACTTCAGCGGGCTGGAAAGAAAGCGTCCAAGTTCCAGTTCGCTGCCTCCTTCCACGAGCTGATGATAGAATGCACCGATAAATGGTGAGTGGCTTTGATGACACTTGTCATTAACTTGTCATTAGTTAATGGGGGTCGGGAGGACGTGTGCTGCGTTTTTCTTGTCAAGGACACCACGTATTGTGATTCAAAACTGAATGTTTCAAAAACGTTCTCTTGTCCAAAGTCGTGTGCGCCACAGGAAGAAATGCCGCTGTGTTTACACGCCTTGCAGCGTTCACGGCGATGCAAATTAACTTATTTCAGGTCCGCTTGTTATTATCGCAGTATTACAACTGTTTCTAAAAGTTGACATTGATGGATTCCCTGAATAAAAGCGACTTTTGCTGTTAGAAGTACAGCCGTTGTTTCGGAGGCTCTACTGATGTCAGTCACTGTGAAATATAATATGGTGACACTCCCCTCGACACGCACCCTTACTTCCGCGTCTGCTTATTGATGCGCGCGTGTGGTTATTAGCGTTGTTTTATGGCGTCATGGTACCCAGAGCAACCCAGACTCGACACCTGGTTGTTTGGAGACGCTGATCTCTTCAAGAAGAAGAGTCCGCAGGTGGAGAAAGGGCGTGTGTCAACCACACCTCACAACCAGCACGGCTGTAGCCGGAAACGTGAAACAATGACGTCCTGCATTGAGTCCCCTTCTTCACCGATGACAGGTTTCTGACCTGTTACCACATGAACGTGTCGGGAGGCTCAGTGTTTATGCTCGGTGTTGCAATGCTTTAGTACGATTTTTGACCAGTGTTTTTTTGTGGTTTCATTTTTCATTTGACAACCGTACAACGCCTGGTAGACCTGAACTCTCCCGGTCTTCTCTGTTGGTCTTCGCTCTGTTTGTCTGGCTGCTTGGGTCTTGGCACCGGAGGAGTTCCATTAATACCATTCCCATTACTCATGGTGCAGTCAGCGTGCGTAATCCACCAGCTTCGGCTTGCACGGTGGCCCACCTTTCCCGTCACTCTGTTATGTGCCATCCACGAAGTATCCCACACACTGAACCAGTACCAACATGATTTAGAAACCAAACAGATGCCATCGTGCCGGCAGAGACCAAAAGCTGTGCTCACACAACCATGATACTACATGTTTTCTTTTGTTTCTTTAATTTAGACAGAAACCAAAGTGTAAATCAATTATTAGTGGTTTTGTAATGTTGGAGCTATGTCTTGTTTTCATGGTTGTTTTATAACAACAGTGTGTTTATCCTCACTGCGTCTCTGGCTATGTTTCCAGTTGCCGCAGTAGGTGCATATATGTGTATTACTACATGATACCCAGGAAGCTGCACAGGGTCACTTCAGCCTGCAACAACCTCCAGTTCTGCCCTGTGAAGCCAATGCTTCATCTCCTAAAACTTGCCTACTCTCTACTGACCGGGGTGCAAGTCAGTCTATAGAAAAACATAAGAAAAAGGCTCTCCTTCTCTCTTGATTTATACCTTCTTTGCACCTTCTTTCTTATTCGTTCTCACTCTTCCACAACCTTTATCGCCGATAGTTGTGAGTGTCATGCAACATGAGCAGGAGGCTTTAAAGGCCGATGCTGACTATGTGGATTCAATGCGCTTTGGATTGAAGCTGATATTCATTTATTTTAGTTCTAATTGTGGTTCATTTGGGCACAATTTGGGGTGTCATTTTTGTAGTTTCTAATAATTTGGTAACATGGCTACAAAGAATCAAGAAAAGTCTGACAAATTGGAAACAAACAGATCACTCAAAATTCTAAACCACTTTATTTGAATGTCAAAAGGTTGATGTTCGAACAGGAAGGTGGTCTGTAAACTGGGATTGATGTTTACAACCACACTAAAGCATCCTCTGCTTAATGGGCTATATGACTCTAAATGGACTCATTATTTTCAAAATGAGTATTTCTCAAACTGTGGGCCCTCTAGTGGGAACTGGAAGTTGAGCCCTATAAACTCATATGTACAATGTTTACTAAGGGAATAATTCAAGTGAGTAGTAGAGTCATTTTAATATAGACTCCTATACAACAATGAGTTCCCCCTGCTGGTCATTACAGAAAATGCAGCTTCAAATTTTGCATTGGCTGCTCCTACCAGCCACACCCGACTGGGAGAAAAGCCTGTTGATATAAGTCAATGCAAATGGATCATTATGATTAGAACTTTTGGAGCTGGAGAAATAAATAGCTGATGGAGTTAATTCTCTGCTCAGTGCCATCACATGCTGTATTTGGTCTGTCTCTGGATCCTCTGCACCAGTTCTCTGTTTTGTATTAAATAAATAGTTAATATAAAATAAATCCCATGTGTGGGACAATGTGTCACCCTCCTTACATTCTTTCAGCTTGTGATTAACGTGCACGCTGTTTACGGTCATAGCGAATCAATGTTTATTTATTCCCCACATAAGAAACATGGCGTCACTTCCTGTTTCAGTGCAAAACGCAATGTGGCCTCAAGCATTAACTACATCTTTGGACAACAAGTTGCTGCTCTAAAGCCTCAGGATTATGTAAGCGTGAAAGGAAGTCATACGAGAGGTCTCCCTCTATTTAGATTGAATGTTTTCAGGGATTACAGCATCTCCCTCCCTTTTTCACACAGACACTCATCCAAAAATATGTTCGTCCTTAAAAGACTCTTCATCCCTGATGTCTGACTCACACTGTCACAAGATTTAAATTTTCTCCGGGATGAGCTCTTCACCTCAGTGGAAGCACACGGATTTAGTCATCATGCCCTGGGTCTGTGCTCCTCCTCAGACTACACTATTATTACATTACATGAAATTAGATGTTGGTTTATTCCAACCACCATCAGATGGATCACCATAGACCATCAAGTTTGCCCCTGAATTTAAGTATGTTTTCATTGTCATTGTAAGCAAATTAGCATGCTGACATTAATGCTCAGCCCAAAGCCACGCTGTCCCCGTGTCCAGCACCACAGAGCTGCTAGTGTGGTGCCCAGGATGGGTCTAAAATTGCTAAATTTTTGGACCGTTTACTATTTCAAGTGTCCAAATTCTTAGAGTGAAATTGACACTTTTTAGGACCAACAAAAATTGCCACAATGCAATGAACAGATGATGGAAAAGTATTACGATATCAGAAAATCCTCAAATCCAAATTGAATGTACAGTGAAGTGAACATGGGTATTGTTACCATCACAATTCAGACTGTGTATCAGTATTCCATACTTTTAAGGTATGGAAGAAAATAACCCAGTACCAAATAGTATTTAAACTTCTCCAGTCGAACGATACCATACTGTCATAGACATATACATAAGAAATGCTTGCATGCATACAAGTTAAACATTTATACATATCTCAACACTCATGCATGCACATATGAAAATGTTTTATATATATTGTAGAACACTAATACAGTCATAACTGAATCTCTTGCAAATGATGACAAAGATATAAAAAGTTTAGATACATATGCAAGTGTTTCACTTATATTTGTATGAAATATGTGTATGTATAGATTTTTCAGGCAAACTGGAGGCATCAAAGCTTCAGTCCACAAACCAATGGGTGATATCACAATGACTACGTCCACCTCTTGCAGACAGTCTGTGGGTGAAGTCAAACGGGAACTATTTAATGGGGTTAGCAGTTCAGTGTGTTGCGTACACCAAAAGTTTGGAATGTTTGTTTTCACTACATACCACTGCCAATAAATGCAGTGATTATTGCATTTTATGCTAATTATTTTTGCATTCATATGATTGCTATGATGTACTTTATAGTACTGGTATCATATAAAGTTGACTTGTATTGGTACTAAGGCAGTAATAATGGAAAAAACATGTAAACCAACTGAGATGTTATTTCTGCTTCCCTGTGATTGCAGGCAACCAGACAAACTGAGGGTGTCATGGATCAGGAGAACCAGACGTCACAGCACAAAGGTAACAGAGCAGAAAGGAAGGACATGACAATCATAAAGAAGCATTCTAATCATCTGAGCTCCTGGTGCAGCACAGCGGAACTTCTAAATTATTTTGAAGCAAATTGGCGTAATTTCGGGAGCAGGACCACGCCTCCTCTTCCCATCCCATTGATGCATTCCAATCCCCACCCTCCCAACACCCTTTTTTCCCATCTTTTTCCTCCCCTCTTTCAACATTTTTTTGTAGGGTCCTGAAAGGGTTCGCCGTGCCTGGGCACCACGGCGGATCCTCTGACGTAGCTCCCCAAAACCCATTCGACAATCCTATCGCTTACATCTAGCAAATAGTGGTCCTTGCTACCACTGTAACCTTGGAGAGAATAGGTTTCATAGGTCTCAATGTTTCTGTTACACAGAAGGCAGTTTAGTTGTGACAACGTCATTTTTAGGTCTGTTGATATTGTAAAGCGTGCTCTGGATAGGTGCTCTCAGTACCTGCGAATTGATTGAATCCGCGGTTTGTTGTTTTCTATCAGCTCCACAGCTGGCAGCCAGGGATCAAAAACCCGTACAGAGGCCTGGTGCTTTGGCAGGTTCCAGAGAGTTTAGACATCAGCGTCACACTCTTCAAGGTAGGAGCTTAAAGCTTAAGTAATAGCGGCTCACAAAATGAGTTGTCGTACAGATGGGAAATGCTCAGCTGAATGGATTTATCTGTGAACAGGAACCAACTGCAGATGAGTTTGAGGACAAAGACTGGACATTCGTCATTGAAAATGTGAGTCAGCAGGATGGATCCGTGTTGTCCTTGTGATTTCATTTAATTAATTTTAATCATAAAACAATATATTGTCCAGGTCAATAATTTCTGTTCAATTTCCTCCTTGTCCATTGTTTTTATTCATCAGGAGACCAAAGGCCGCAGGAAGGTGTTGGCATCAGCAGATGTGAACATGAAGAAGTTTGCCAGTGCCACACCGGCCCAGTATGATGTCACGCTGAAGCTCAAACCGCTGTCTGTGAAAGTGGTGGAAGCCACGCTGAAACTGAACCTGTCTTGTGTCTTTCTCAAAGAGGGCAAGGCCACGTAAGTCATTAACCGAGCAGCATATTAATATCCTCAAAGAGTCCTCAAAATCGTCACAGCTGTTGTACAGAATTGAAATCAGCAGCATTGTTTAAAGGCCAATACGGATATTTATGTTCATCTGATGCTTTAAGAGGATTCTCTTTATACTCTCCACAGAGATGACGATATGCAGAGTCTGGCCAGTCTGCTGAGCATGAAACAGAGTGACATCGGGAACCTGGATGACTTCATTGACAGTGATGATGAAGGTGGTGAGGAGAGGAGGGCCAGCTTTGGACAAGCTACTCATGTTACGGGTAAGACTGGGGAAACGCTTATGGATCACTTTGGTGAATATATCAAATTAACGTGCAATGCATTCAGGAGCTACTTGTTAGCCTAATTACCTAATGTTACCTAATGCTGAAGTTCCTGGTTCAACACTAAAACGTTTATAAGCTTAAGTTATTGACATAAGCTGAATGAAAGTTGAAGAGAAGACGCTTCACTTAGGTTGAGTTGTTGGGACATCAAATCCACAGACGGTCTCACATGATCTTTGACTACAGACTTTGTAAACATATCTATGCAAACCTACCTTTTTTTTCTTCGTATAATCCCTATTGGTCTAAATAGGACCAAAAGCGCTCATGTTTTTTTTCCAGGGGAATACTTTCATAACCTGTTGTTACAGGTATGCTTGTAAAAAAAAATCCCGACCAGTTTTGAAAGGTCGAAAGTATTTTTTTTTAATCAATTTAAAGAATTATCAATTTTTTTGCATATTTATTTTTTTAATCAAATGATTGAAAAGACTATTCTATTACTGTTCCTTAGTCATAAACACAGGAGAGAAAAACATTCAGATCACACCAGATTTTTATACAGTAGATTTGTGATTAAAATGTAAGATATTTTGGTTTACGGTGAGTTTACCACTGGTAACTGGTCTAAAGCCTAGTTTATGCTTCTGCGTTTTCAGAGCGACGCAGACGCAAGACCCCCTTGCGTGTCCCTTGCGTGCCTTTTCACACCTCCTCGCATGCTTGCGTGTGTCGACCCATTTTTCTAGGCTTTTCAAGCCTCCCGCAGAGCACAAGGCTGCGATTGGTCTGCTAACTACATCCTTTACGGAGTCTCACATTTCCGCTTTCATAGCCCGATACCGCCATTATTAAAACGAAGAATGTTTACGAGAGAACGGATCAGATTTAAGAACTTCTGTCAGAAGAAATGCGTAAATATGACCGCTTATACAAGCCGTCATTGGCGGGTTGTAGAAGCGGGTTGGATTCACGGAGGGAGATCGCCGCAAACGCCGGTTTGCCGGTCGAGAGGTGCACAAAGTTGTAGAGGAAAATACGGGACAAATGTGTCCACGATGAAAAGCAGCAGTGGCGATGCACGGGGCCATAAAGTCTATGATAAATAAATAAACAAATCAATAAATAGACGTGACTCTCTAGGTCGTCTTCAACAAAACACGTCACTCCACCTGTTGTTCTGTTGGTGAATTGCTCTGCAACACACACAGAACCATGAATTGAAACGAGTGCGTTGACACGACGACGCAGAAGCAGAAGGATGCGCCGGCCTTAAGACTTCCTCTCTGAATATTGCCCCATGGCTCTGTAATATTTTAATTTTTTTACCTACAATGGCCCCTTTGCAGGTGTCCCATTCATATGATTCCAAAACATCTTTTCTAAATAAAGTGTTGCGCTGGATATCGCAACTTACAACTTTCCCACTTCAAGGTCTAATGCACTGTGAAATTCATCCTTTCTGTTTCTATTTGAACTATTTCTCTCAAAACGCTACTTTCTCTTTTGTTTGATATTTAAAAATCAGTTTCCATTTTCATTTAACCTCTTTGACTGCTGTTCCTTTCTCTCTCTCTCTCTCTCTCTCTCTCTCTCTCTCTCTCTCTCTCTCTCTCTCTATAACAGCCTCTGTCTCTATCATGAGAGTACATGACCTGGCTTGGAGGCCTGTAGTTGAATCAGGCCCCACAGGTAACTGTCTGTCCATAGCTCCACTCTCCCGCCTTACTGATACACACATTACACAGTAATCTATCTTTAAGGGGCATTATGCGTACTTGAAAAAGCATTATTATTGACATGAAAGTAACAAACCCATGCCTTATGGGCCTCATTCCTCTTCCCCTTTTTACTTCCTCTGTGTTTCCTCACAAATACAGCAAAGCCAAATCCATACCCCCCCCCCCCCCCCCCCCCCCCACCCGTCTTTTACTTTTACTTTTTTCTATCTACTTCTCATACCATTCTTCTTTTCATTTAAACCTTCATTTAATCCCCCTCTCCCCATCTTTCTCTCTTCCCTGTGTCCTTCCATTCTTCCCGTCTCCACCCGGTAACCCTCAGAGATGGATGGGAAACCTCTGGCATTTCCTCCACCATCTCTGCCCTGTCTCCTCCTCCTCCTCCTGTGCCTGAACCCCCAGACCCCTCGGTTCCATCTTCTTTATGCACACGACCACCAAGCACTACCCATCAGGCTCGGCCCTCCCCATTTGCCTACACACTGCCAGCCTTTACACGTGCTCACCCACCTGTGCTTCCCAGAATCTTCCAGCTCGCTGCCGGATCAGGTATCGGTCAACAGATACTTCAAATACAAACTATTTTAAAATTTAGCAATGACCTTTTCTGCATCCACATTCAAACACAACTGTTGCATGGCCAGGGAAGTGGAATCGATTGCTCGATTTCTTTGCAGTTGTGGAGCCTTTTGCTTGTCTCGTGAAGCAGTGGTGCCGAGCCCCAGAGACAGTTGGTTCCCGGCCGCAGAGAAAGAAAACATTTCTTTTTTTAGAAAAATATTTTGTTTTGAAAAATGTTAGGCTTCCCGGCCAATTAAATGCGCCTGTCCCTTCAGTTTAATCCCTGGGGCTGAGAGCCTGGCTTCAATCATTTCTCATTAATGTAGCAAAATAATTCACTGTAGTTCACTTCAAAATGACTGTGTTAGTAGTCTTGATACCGCAAACCTAGTAGTCAACACCAATAACGAGGATTTCTACAATTCTCGATACCCAATTCAAAAACATGGTAAAATAGAGGTAGCATTCCCCCGCTGCTCATCTGGACACGGATTTGTTGTTGACAATGTAGCTTTATGCGTGGCATAGTCCACTGTCCCTGGTACAACACTGTTAGTGCTTATCCCCGGTATACTTGCACTCCTGACCAAAACAAAAACTTCACATTTTCAGAATTTTGGCATTGATTCGGTAGGAAAGTATTGGCTATCGGGACCTCCTCACTATGTAGGTCTGATGACAATTTATTCTTTTGAGACCCAAATGTCTAGAAGGGTATATCAGAAGTCTTGCAGGCTACACCTCACCACATGAGATCAGCCCTAGGATAACCTTTGGTATTACTTATTTGAATCCCAACCACCTTCTTTTCTTAAACAAAGTAGCCCTTAAAATGTTGTTGCCTAACCTGAGCTGCAAGGGTTAAAGGGCGTGTTGTGTAGCAAGTGTTTCCAGGTGAATCTATGCGAATAAAGTGGCCGAGATAACTATGATCAAATTATTTACGCCGTCAACGCAACTTTGTTTACTTCCAATTTCAAAATGTGCGACAATTAGTTGATTTTTTTATTGACAGCATTTATTGTTCTGTCTTTTGGTTTGACTTCTTCTTCTTCTCTCTCCTTTCCTTTACTTCTCTGCCCCTTCCTGTCCATCTGCTCTCCTTTTTAATGCCCATTTCAGCTTCAAGAAGGCCCCATAGCTTTCACAGCTTGGAGGCCTTTGCTACCTTCACCCCTTCTAAAGCCACCTCCACCTCTTCTCACCCCCCCTCCGCCCTCGATCCATCGCTCCACACTCCCACTTCCTCTGATACCTCACAAACAGGTAGTGCGTGATTCTATTTAGAGTCGTTATTAGTTTCTAATTGACAAATCAATCTGAAATGCATGGTTCTGTTTACTGCTATAAATTTGCATTAAGGGATTTTGCTGCAGCAAATCCTTTCTTTATATCAAAATAAATACCGTATTTTCCGCACAATAAGGCGCATTTAAAAGCCTATAATTTTCTCAAAAAACGACAGTGCCTTATAATCCAGAGCGCCTTATATATGGATCAATTGGTCGGTTGATCCATACTGGTTGTACACGGCGCTCAAGGCGCTCTGCCAAACATGCCAAAGCTCGGTCTACGACGGCGAGATGCTGAGCCGGCGCTGAAGCACGTGAGATATGGAGCTTGTTTCAGGGCGCGTCGGAGAAACAGAATCGTTCTTGCCGAGCACTTAATGAGATTAAAGAGCGAGAGATGGTGCCCTTTTCTTTACAGTGGCTGAACCATCTTAACGGGGGAAATAAGTTGTTCTAAAAGGGGCCCTTGGCAGGCGGCGTGGCTGGAGAGCAGCCAAAGATTTAAGACGTGGATGGCGAGGGGGGCGGCGGGAGCTGACGCACCTCGTAGCATCGATCGGACCCTGAAAGCACCGTCTCCACCTCCCCACATCCCCCCATCCACCAGCCCCGACGTCAAACGTTTGACTGCAGTATCTTATGCGCCTTATAATCCGGTGCGCCCTATATATGACATTTTTTCTAAAATAGGTCATTCATTGAAGGTGCGCCTTATAATCCGGTGCGCCGTATAGTGCGGAAAATACGGTAATAAATAAAGTCACCAACTATTATTTTTCTTATTTGCAGCTTGTTCAAACTGTGGCTCCTTAGAATTCGGGCCTTTTACGTCACAACAATGCAGCATTAGGCCGAGCATGCTTTTGTCCTACCGCCCCCCCCCTCCCTTAATTTCTTTTGATTTATTCTCTCTGTCTTCTTCTCTCAGCCTGTCCCACTGCCTTGAGACCACATGGCGTTCTATCCCTTCCTTCTGCAACCTCCTCATCTTCGGCTCCTATCAGCTCCTTCTCCCCTACCCCCTCTCTACCTCCACCTCCCGCTGCTCCCAGACACCCCAAAGCTTGCTTCTCCTCAGGGGAGTTGGGCTCCGCCCTCACCAGGCCTAGCAGCCTTCCGTCAGCCCCAGAGACAGGTACAGGCACAGACCCCGTCAGAGGCTGGTCATACACCTGTTACTACGCATTTACTCCTTTTCCCTCATCCATCCTTCCATGTTTCTATTTCCCTTCTTATTTTTTTCCAGCTTCGTGGCAGAGCGAATGGAGGCCCCCGAAATCTCATGCGCCTCTAGCACAGCCTGCCTGCTCCCCTAAGTTTCTGCATCTCTCTACCAAGGATGGACAGCACATAGAGACGCCATGTAATTCTGCTGTACCGTGTGTCTAACAATCACTGTGCTTAAATGTAGCTTTCATTCATCCTTTAGAATAAAGATTTCTGCCCTTTATGCTATCTAGACCGAAAGTGCCCAAGAGTAGTTAGAGATCTCAAATGACTCTCGCTGACATCCTGCTGCCGAAAATACTCACCAGGACCAAACGACCAAATGTTGACTAATCTGCCAGTCCGGAGAAAGGACTAAGAAATTACTTAAATATCCTAAATATACAATTGTTAGGACACACATTGTGCAAGCAAAGGAGAATCCAAACTACGTCTGACCAGGTGTTATACAACAAGCAGCAGAATTCTCAGGAACACTTTCGATGACCTCCATTTCCATAGAGTATAACATAGTCATAATAATGTAACGGGTGAGTTACAGTCACAGAAACAGTACGACAAAGCGGCCACAGTAGTTAAAATCTAAGTCTTTATTTTCCTCTACACAAACAAAACTGGTTTAAAGACGTGGTCAGAGACTGAAGGCTGGGTGAATAACCGGGGAAGAGGCAAGGCGAGAAATAAATCCAAGAGAAACACCCGGAAAGTCTGGCATACAGTGAATGATCTGACAGCAAGTGAGTGCTTGACTGGGGTTTAAATACTAAAGGGAGTGAGTAGGGTAGACAGGTGAGTGTGATTGGGCTGACGTGGTAGATGTGAGTAGCAGTCACTGAACTGAATGAACTGATAAGGTGGAGTGTAAAATGAAAATGACAGGGTAGAAGTGACAGAGCTGTGACAAACTGTATAATCATACCTTTAAGCACACAATTAGTAATTCTTCATAACAATAATCCTAAAAAAACACTAATTATAACATTTTAACACACTATTGCTGGTAACCCAGTGTCTTATTTTGTTTCACTTGACTTAATGTCAACATTGATCTTAATGTTATAATTTGTATTTTAAGCATTATGGTTATTTATGAATACGTTAGACCATTATTATACATACATTGAATATGTATGCAAGACTATGATGCATTATAATTATTTTATATTGCAATATAGAAATGGATTTCATAGAAATAGTTTTCTCTGTCATTAATGAGGACAGTTTTGAGAAGATTTTGGTTGATTCACTGAAAAACAGAACAGTGTCATTGATATTCCACCTTGATTTCCCCCTCCCTTACCTTCCTTCCCATCATTCCTCTACCCTATCGTGTTTCCTCTCTGTCAGTTTCGTCCTTTTTGGAGGAGAAACCACAGGCGGGGTCTGGATTCATTCCTTCTTGGAGACCCCAAACCCCCCCTATAGCCGAGACCCTCTCACCTTCTCCTTTAAGTCCTTCTTCTGCTCATGTTCTCTTTGGGTCTCCTCCTCCTCTTCTTCCTCTTCCTTCTCAGCCTTATAAATCCCAAACTGCAACAACCGCCAACAGTGATGCAGGTACAGAATCAAAAAGGAACCATGCTGAGTGACTAAAGCCTACCAATTGTCTCCCTCTGCTATTACTTACATGAGAGTATCTAATCACTCTCTAAAATGATACACTGGATATGGTGCTGCCATGGTGTAATATGGAAAGCGAGCTTATCGCATACAGTCCCTGTGTAATTCCCTCTACGCTTTTCATTTGTTTCAGAATTCAAAAGACAGTTGAGCACGCTGCGTGAAGAAGACCACCAGTGTATGACTTCCACAAGTGAGCGTGAAGACACAATGAGTAGAATAAGTGTGAGCTTTCTGGAAATGAGCCCCTGACTAACGGATCGTTGCTTTATGCTGTTCAGCCCCTGATGCTACAGCGCCAGCCAGCCGCAGGCCAGAACCCCCCAGGGCTTCAGACAGGGGAAGAGACCCACATGCAGGAATGCATGTTGTGAAGGCATCAGCAGGGTGAGTTCATATGAAAGGTGGTCTTTTAATCGGTTTGGTGTTTTTTATTATATAGGGTGGCTGGCATGGCTTTAAAGGACTAACCGCATCTCCAACGCTGTCAATGGCACCACTTTGTGTGGTCAGATGTATCAAATGAGTACTCTGGTCTTAACAGTGTAGGAAACGGTCATTGGAGCTGAGAGACCTTTATTAAAGCAATAAGGTACGAGAGGCTGTACTTTATCGTCCAATATGTAACAGTTCGGGGGCATTGTTAGGCCCGACGCGGAGCGGAGGGCCGGCAACTCTTGAACGATTACATTATTGAAGATACTTTTCTTAAATCCCAAATGAAATGATGAGTGTGAGCTTTACTGGCCGGCTGGCCCCAGTACTTGGTAACCCATGCGGGCCAGATTATGGAGCTTCTTAACTGGGAAAATGCTAGAGCAACTATTTCAAAATGACACATGTGATTACTTGCCTCCAAATTTTTCAGGAGTAAATTGAATTATGAATACCGTACAACGAAGCTTGTGAAAAAAATCAAAAATCACGTTGGTGTGTTTTTATGTTGTTACTGTCTTCACTGTATTAAAATGGGGTGTGTGTAGTCGCTGATTTGTCAAACGTATATATTAGCTTGCACATGTACCGTTTGTAGTTCTCAAGCTCATATACTGGTTATTTATTACCTACCCAGTGCAAAATGAGGAAGCCAAAGTGAGTGGACTGGTGAATTACAAAATAATATTTTCTAAATTAGGTGTAGTAGAAATTTGGACTTGCACTCAATATTGATTGAAAAAGAGGAATGCCCATCCTGCTGAGATTTTTCCAGATGCGTTACTTGTTGGAATTGGTTAAGTTTATAAGTCTTACACTTATTTGGGGGATTGGCTTTATTCCCCCTAGCCGTTAACAAACATTTAAATGCAGCTTTAACAAAGACGCTGTCTAAGGCCACACAACATCAAGGTACACTAACTTACATTGTTTCTTTTGGAATGTGTTTGCCATTAATTAGTAAGGCTTTCATTGGCAGCATTGGCTCCAAGGGGCTTTTCTCATTACCTTTAATATACTTTATCTTACAAACTTGCCATTGGTTGGACTTTAAAGCCCTTCTGGCAATGTTTGAAATTAATCTAGGTTAAATAGAGAAATCTGTAACACAAAACACAAAATGTGTTGCGCTAAAAAAATGAATCTACCAAACAAACCTTTAACTGAATGTTTGAGTGTACTAATCAAATGTAATTGTATCTTTTACATGTGTCATGAAAGAAGGAAAATATCAAGAAGATAAAATGATTGAAATGATCAATTTGGTACTATATTATAATGTCTGTGGTACCATCTGCTAAGCATCTTCTGCTGCTTGTAAGATCTAACATTTTTGAGCACTGCAAAATATCTTTTTATGGTTCTTGTTGAGCTGCCTCTGGAAAGGCCTAGAGTATGGGATTAAAAAGAGTATTCCAAGTATGTTGGCATTTTAACAAAAACATCATCACAACATCACCACATTCAATTTTGCAAGTGCAGATTGATCTGGCATTGTTATTTCCGTGTATAATTTAAAAAGGCTGCGCCTGGTTGGTAAAATCTGGTTATTTGTTCTGTGATCTACCACAAGGAGCTTGTTTGGTTGTGACTCTGGTTTGAATCTCCTCTTATTTTTTGTAGTTCATTGTCACTTTGCTCATTGGTTTGTTTGCTGTTTAGTGGGATTCTGTGAATATGGCCTCGATATGGACTGGATTACTGCAGGGGAAACTTTCCTTACGTTTTAACATCATAACTCTGCTTCATTTGTTTGTCCCTCAGACCTGAGAGCATGGCCTCACTCCTGCCTCTAAGCCCAAGAAAGCCAGTAGTCCAAGGACTAAAATATTTTGAGATGCCAAAACCACAGGTCAATCAATCAGAATCAAGGCCAACAAGAACATTTCCGAGCATTCAACCAACAGTTCTTCCCTTCACTTCAGCACATAGGCTAAACTGTGATTATCAAGAGTGTTCCTCTGCTTCAGTCAAAGGGCCTTTGGTTCAACCAAGAAGTCACTTGTCCATGAAGTCCATTCAGTTAGGAAACGCCCGACCAGAGCCCAATCATCACATTTCTCCCTCCAACTCCAAACCAACCCCCAGACCACTCCAGGGACCTTTGCAAATTGCTACAGGGTCTGACACAAAACCGATAGAAACTATGGGAGCGGCCTGTAAAAAAGAAGCTGTAACTGTGGATTTGGGGTAAGTGCAGTATGTTGCTCTGTCAGGGAAATCCCTATTCCAACACACTATTGCAATGCAGAAGTAATTTATAAAGCCAAAAGATTGATATATTGTGTTTAGCTTTCCTAAGCACACCAGCCTTTTTATTCTGACAACAAACTTTGGTGTACTTTATTCCCTCAGAAATGAGAGCATTGCTGGTCAGTCTGGAGAATGTTCAATTGTGAAAAACTCACATTGGGAGAAGCCACAAAGAGACATTCAAACAATAAGCCCTACTGTTCCAATACCCATTATGGAGAAGAAAACCAGATGCAACATGACTGCCTCAGTGAATTCAAGATTGGACCCTTTTGGGGTTCTCTCTGCACAGCAAGTCACAGCAGACAATTTATCAAATGAAGAAGAATTTAAAGTGGATTTTGCATCATCCTCCACAAAACGATTGGATGTGCATGATTTTGACCCACAACATTGTATGGGGAAAGTGAGAACAAAAATTGTGGCAAAATCTGCAGGCAGTACAGAAGAAATGTGCTTGTACTTATCAACGGCAGAACATAGTCAATTATGTACAACAAAAAGTTATATTTCTCAATCACCGTCCATACTACAGCCTGACGTCACACTATGCCTTCCAAGAATGATTAAGTTACAATCAAGTTGCCCACAATATTCCAAGATTCATGGCATGCCATCTTTATATCAGTCAGAGATTACAGCTTGGCCTGATTGGAGGTTATTGACTCCAAAGTTACCAAGCAACAGATTTCCTTTACTCCTGCACTCAGACTTTAGTTCCCTTTTTAAGAGTAGTGCAGGGATTTTAAAAATGGTGGACATTACACCGTCCTGCCCCAGGTCTGCTAGTATTCCAGGATTCCCATCTGCTTTGAAGCGTGAACCTAATATGACTTGTCTTTTACCCATTTGTCCCAGAATTTGCAGTATTCCAGGGTTAGCTTCTGCTGGAGCAGTGAATGTGTTTGAAGATTATGTTTTGGACAATGGTTCTCTGTGGAGGAAACAATTGCAGATAAAAGACGCATTTATTTCGTACATGTCCTGTTTTCAGGAGCAAGATGTTCCTGATACTAATATGGTTAACAGTATGGTGGCCATGTTGCCAACATGTTCTAGAAAAGCGAGTATTCCAGGATTTCCTTCCGCACCATTGCTCAAGGTTCCAAGTATTCCAAATATGGCTAGTCTTCTCCCTACATACCCCAAACAGACAATTGTTGCAGGTATGCCTGGTAGACAAGAAGCTATGGCAGCGAATGACAGCTGGCTTATTTTAAGGGAATATATTTTTGAAAGACCATTGAGAAGTAATCCTGCTCTGGTGTCACATGAGGATAAAGAGCATATACGACATATGGTAGATATGTTATTATCTTGTCCCTGCAAGGAAGTCCTCCCTGGTTTTCCCTCTGTGCCAAGAAAAGGCACAGATACCCCCAAAGAAATGTTAGATATGTTGAGAAGCTGCCCGCACAAAGCCAACGTTTTTGGCTCACCTTCTGCTCCACAAAAACCAAGCATGGTTAATATAATGCCTTTATGTCCCGTACACAGTAAAGTCCCTGGTTGTCCTTCACAGACTGGACAGAAACTCTGTGTGTCTAGCTGCAATGAATGGTTTGCCTCTAAAATTTTACAGTGGGACATTCCATTCATCAAAAAGGAAGTCCAGATTCGAAATGCAGTTTTGTGTTTTGATGAAAACACTGCTAAAAGTATGAGTGCAATATTACCCTCTTGCCCTGAGAAAGTTAGAGTTCCTGGGTTTCCGTCTGCTTTGACACTCACATTAACCAATGTCCCAACTATGGTCAACTTATTGCCAAGTTGTACAAAGGCATCTAGAATTCCTGGAATGCCACTAAGAGACACCAGTGAACAATCAGAGTGGCTGATGGCAAGCAAATCGCTCCTACGTCCTCGGGAAAAGTTGGCATTTGAATACAATTTACTGGATGTAAATGTGTTCTATTCTGATTGTGATTGTGTGTCAATATTACCATCTTGCCCACAGACAGCTCGTTTACCAGGCTTTCAATCAGTGCTATCTACGGTGTTAGCAGATATACCAAGTATGATCAATTCGTTGCCTACATGTCCAAGACATTCCACCGTATGTGGAATTCCTTCTAGATACTACGGTTATTGTGATGAGGCCGAATGGCATGTGTATAAATGGCCAGTGTGGGAAAGGCCATTAACAAACCAAGGCAAAATGCCAGTAATACATGACCATACAATGCATATTACAGACAAAGTAGTTGTCAAGATTATGGTATCAATGTTGCCACCGTGTCCACAACACTCAAGTATTCCTGGAATTTCTGAGGCAGGAGAGAAACCAGTGGAAGCTGTGATGAGGGAGGCTCAAACCATGTTAAAAACTGAAGCCACTTTCCCGCAACAACGTGAAATTCCAGGTCTACATGGACAGAGTAGCGCCAAAGATTGGGATGGCCGGTATGTAGACAAGGACGTAGTTTGGAAAAGCTCATTCAATACTGTTAAGGATCCATCCTATAGGGACAAAGAAATAACGCAGAGTATGCTAAAATCATGTCATTCACGGTCCCTGAACCCTGGAACTCCACCTGCTTATAAACAGCAGGTTCTTGATGCCACCTTGATGGAAAAACATCATGGTAAAAACATGGTAAAATTGCTGCCATGTTGTCCACAACGGTCAAGTATTGTTGGTTTCCCCTCAAGACTGTCAGTTATTTCTGATTCTGAAGTAGGGGACCGGCTGGTGGTGATGATGAAGATGCAAGACTGCAGTGACTTTCACACAATGTATAGTTCTCCCAAAGATAGAATAATGGCAATTCCTTCTCTTGATTCTTCCTGTCCAAACATTGCTCTCAGTTCTTACTTCCCAACAGTTAAAATGCCTGACATAAACTGCCTTCCAAATATGATAAATATTGTGCCATCTTGCCCAAAGAAAGCGTCTGTTCTTGGATTGCCATCCACACATGTGCACCTTTCAGAAAAAGAGTGGCGAGGAACAACGATAATTGGAAGTGAAAGAGAAAACCATACGAATGAACACCTCTCACTGGAAGAACGTTTCTTTGGAAACGTTTCTGTTAGAGAAGGATCAAAACTTTTCATACTCCCGAGCCAAGGATCAGAGGATGTTCAACAAGGAATGACAATGGAGTCATCAACCCCCTTACTATCATCAAATTCTGAGGGCCAGCCATCCTCCATGGTCAATGGGATGGATACATTATTGGATGAGGCCAGTCCAATAGGATTCAATCTTGATACAGAGACAACTAAATCCAATGTGTGCTCAGATTTGAAGAGATATAAAGATGAACAGGGCTTTTGGATACCAAGTGAGGCAGAAGAAAATGCTGTTCTAGGAAAAGGGTGAGTTGGAGAGTTGAAGTTGGAGTTTTTTTGTGATATCAGCAGTGTAGGTTTTGAAACCTGCTTTTGGATTGTGTTTTCAGAAACTTGCATTGCAGAATCTGGCACTCCCTTCCTCATATGCCACTGTTGTTGAGTGTTAGGAAGAGGTGGGTTGCCTTGGTTTGCACTGTAATGCAATGCGGCGATGCATTTTAACAATAATAATTGCCTCCAAAATAATTTAATTTGGCACCATCTGACTGCAAAGTCTGTATTTGTTGTGTGTCATACATTGTACACACAGCTCTGAGTTGTTCTGTGGTTCCGTTTTGCCCTCTCGGTACTTGCCATTGTGTCAGCCCCTGGGGTCAAAAGGATATTAAAAAGATTAAGATATCAATGTGTGAGAAAAAGGCAAAGGAGAAGGTACTTTTGTAGGTACTGTGGAGGGTTTCATGCCTGTATACAGTCAGATAAAGGTGCATTAGATACAAGTAGTGGGGAGCTAATACTTATAGGCTCCCCACTTGTCAGATTGATTTCAGAGTAGTGATGTGTAATACGTGGTTTTAATTTATAATGTCCTCTTGATGTCGGCTTAATTTTTTGTTGGACATAGTTGCATTGTCGCTTTTGCGATTGTGAGCAAAATGGTTTGCCATAGAGCCCAAATTCATACAAAACAGTACAAATGCAAGTCAGTTTAGAAAAACTCAATAAATAGATAAATAATTAAACCAACAATGTTTACTTTCACACCTTTTGCTTTTTATATTTTACAACATTTTATATTATTATTTATTTAGGAGATAACGCTGGCTTTATTACGCTAAATTTTATAACTATGGCTGTGGAATCAACCTGCTGTGGCATGTTGTTTTGTTTGCAGTGTTTTAATGCTTTTGGAGGGTTGTTTAATACAGGCTGTTTGTAGTGAGTGGCATTTGTTAACATAGCATGCATAGTGTAAAATAACTATCATAAGAGTGACAAAGAGCAGTAATATAGACTTTTATTTCTAACGTTGCTTTGTATGAATTATTTGTAATCATACTGTCAAGTAATAATTACTTTAATTACTTTTTAATAATCACTAATTTCTTTCTCACAAATTGTTTGAGGTAAACTGGACCAGGCTTGCATTCTATTATGATTAAAACCAATATAGTTACAATGTAGCTTGTGTGAAGCATCTTACGCATTACTAGTTTTGCTGGGTGTCTTTAGTAAAATTTGACCATAACATACTTTAATTGACCTTCTCCTTAGACATGAAAACCTGGTTTCACTAGAGCCGTCATGCCAAGTTGTTGCTGGTGCAACACAACTTCCATCCCAAACCCAAATAAGTAATGCCGAGCTGCAATTACAAAAATGTCCCACAAACAAGACCGTAGTATGGGAAGAGCTACCAAAGACATCTACAGTAAAATGTCCGACAGACCAGACCATACTATGGGAGGAGCTACCAAAGGTGACTAAAGAGATAGCAAGAAAGTCATCTGAGGAAGAAATGGAAATGACGAGAAGAAAAGTGGTCTGCCTCTCTTCTACAGTGTTGAAAACTAGTAATGAAATGAAGACAAATACAGAAACTGGGATTGCAGATCTAATGCCAATATACCCAACAGTTAGCAACATATTCAAATGCAGTGTTACTGCTGAACAAACAGAGGAATGCCTACTGAACAGCAAGTCTACTTGGGATACCCCATCAGAGGATAAGGACATTGTGCATAAAACGTCTTCCACCCCTTGTGCACAACATGTGCCATACTATATGAAGACAGATTTATTGCTTGTCTGTCCCAGTGTGACATGCATTGCTGGAATGCCGTCTAGATTGCCCCCAAAAGGAAAACCCTGGTGTATAGATCAAAAGACAATCTGGGAGAAACAATCAAAAATGAGGGAAATATTAGCACCATATGCGTTGACGGATGATGAAATGAGCCATATGGTTTTACTGGTACCCTCTTGTCCCAGAAAGGCTATAAATCCAGGTTTTCCTTCTGCACCGCTATACAGTTTAGTTTGTTTTTGTCCAAGTGTATCCAGTACACCTGGTGGTTCATCCATCGATGAAGCCAGCAACCGATCATGGGTATCTCAGCAGGCTCCAATTTTGGAAAATAAAATGAAAAGTGAACAAGTTGTAATGACAGCATCACTAAAAGAGAAGGATCAATTTAGACTGGAATCTTTGGAACCAACTTACCTAAGACATTCTTGCACACCAGGCATCCCATCAATTACACAACCTGGTATAGCATATCATGGATCAGATATGACGAGCCTTCAAAGTTCTTGCACCAAAACACCTTGTATTGAAGGTGTTCCATCATTAATGGAACCATTGAGGAAAGGCTGCCCTGCAGATTACAAACCCTTAGAGGTAATTCAGACAGAAAAATACATTGTTGTGATTGAAAAGAGACCCCACTACAATGACATGAACAATGACACGAGAGCCATGTCAGCCCTAGCCCCAACATGTCCAAAATCATCATGTATTGTGGGTTTTTCTTCAATGCAGAGAGATGACAGCAAAGACTGTAACACTTTCCATGAGCCGTTATGGGAGAAGCAAATTAAAAAGACTTCTATATTGATACTGGAAAATGATAAAATAAAAAAAGACATGAGAGGAGTTGTGTCTCTTGCACAAAGTTGCCCAAGAGAATCACTCATCTCTGGCTTTCCCTCTGTCCCAAAACTAAGGATAAACAATGTTGACATGACAAATATGGTCAGTCTTTCAAGCTCATGCTCAAAAAGGTCAAAAATACCAGGATTTCCGTCATCCTCTAATTCAAAAGAATGGAAAGTAAGCAGGAAACCCCTATTTGAATGTAAATTGCAAGCAAAGGTGGTGTCATTGATAGACAGAAGTGAAGGAGATAAGAGATCAATGAAAGCAATGGTTGCTCTTGTACCATCCTGTCCAAAAGAGGCAAGGGCGCCAGGATTTCCTTCTCATCCAAATTCCCAGAACATTTATAATGCACCAAATATAATCAGTCTTTTTCCATTGTGCTCGCAAGTTTCCAAGATTCCTGGATTCCCATCAATTGATCTGAATGTTAGTGTGGGATGGATAATAGAAAAGATGTCATTGCTGAAGAGCCTACCAAAGAAGACGGTCATATTTGAGATATCAAATAGCGTTAAAAAGAATTCTATCGTTTCCTGTGTACCGTCCTGTCCAAAAATGACAAGAATCCCTGGTTTCCCATCTATTCCAAATCCCAAAATGGTGTATTATGGCCTAAATGTAGTCAATCTCCTTCCTTTGTGCCCCCTTGTTTCTATCATACCTGGATTTCCATCAGTTAAAAGTCAAAAGGAAGATGGATGGTCTGCTGAACTGGGTCCATTAATGCACAGACCACTAAAGAACATTCAGTTTAGGATAAACAGCTCGCCAGCTAACATAGACAAAACATACAACATGATTTCCTTGGTTTCTTCTTGTCCAGGATCATCAAAGATTCCAGGCTTTCCCTCTGTTCCCAAATACAACATGCTAAGTATTGTCCCTATTTGCGCCAAAGCATCCAATCTCCCTGGATTTGCATCCTTTGAAGGAACCTCAAAATTACAATGGGTTTTTGATCCACACACTATGTGTGATAAGCCATCAAAGGAGACAGTATTCATAAGGCACAGTCCAAATGAAGACCCCAAATCTGCAAAGACAATGTTGGCCTTAGTGGCATCTTGTCCAGAATCATCCACAATTCCTGGCTTCCCCTCTGCACCGCAAACCAAATCGAAGATTACCAGTGAGATATGCTTTGTACCTTGCTGTTCCAGGGCTTCAAGTCTCAAAGGATTTGCATCCATGTCTGCAATCCAAAATACAGGGTGGCTTAATGAAACAAAACCAATTTTGCTAAGTCCTCAGAAGAAAAGGCCAGAAATAATTGTGCCACTTATTGAAAAGAACGAGCTATGTTGCTACAGCATGAGAGGCATGATGACATTAGTGACATCCTGTCCAAGAGAAGCCAGAGTTCATGGTTTTCCCTCTGCTCCAGTTACAAACAGACCACCAAATATGGTCAGCTTATACACGTCTGCTCCATGTGTTTCATGCATCCGAGGTTTCCCATCAGCAAGGACACTTAGCTCTGAATGTCTAAATATACAAACCTGGACAACTGACAGCAAGTCATTGTCTAAGAACTTGCAGAATGAGAAGATTTGTGTCATTGCAAATATTCCAGCCAAACACGAAGAAGATGAAGCAAAGTATATGGTAGCAATGGCAGCTTCATGTACACATTCAACAGAAATCCCTGGGCTTCCCAGCATTTCACAATTGAATTCAGCAGAGAAAGAAAAAGTCTACTGTTCTACTGGAAAGTATACACCCCAACAATTGCCTCACGCACTTTCAACACAGTCATATCAAAAAGACCCAAGAATGCCTGTTGTTCCTTCCACATGTCTTAGCTTCTCCAACACAGCACTTGCATATGGTAAGACTTTGACAGAGTGAAGATTCACCTTTATATCTATGTCTTGTTTTTATGTATTTTACTTTGCGTTTGCTTTTGTGACAGAGTTCAATGGAGGTGCAAAGCAAAACATAGATCTTTGTGTAGACAACAGGTAAGTAAAGGAGCCCTGTGCTCTTTGTTGTTTGCTGTGAAAGAGGTCATTTAGTGCTTGTCTAACAAGGACTGTTTGGACGTATAGACAGTAGTTTTGTAACTTGATAATGCAGTGCATGGTCAATTTCAGTCTCTGTGAATGCTCTAAATCAGGTTAGGTAAGGGGCCACATACATCATAGGCTAAAATCATAGGCAATGGTCCGGCCGACGGAGGGGCGTGGATCGTCCGGGCTGAAGGGCCATCATTTCCAAGCGAGAGCTGCTGCCTGGAGTGATGCTGTGATCGAAAAGGTCTATTGCTGGGGTTCCCACACTTTTTCGGCTCTCAAACTACTTGTGAATTAACCAAGTCATGGTGATCTACCACCCACACCCTCCCCGTTGGCCGGTTACAATCCGCACCTGGTCTAAAGGCTGGCGCATGCTTCTGCGTCTGCGTCTTTATGCACCGTTGTGTCGATGCACTCGTTTCAATTCGTGGTTCTAAAAGGCTTGCGTGTGTTGCGTTTCCTTGCGTCGCTCTGAAAACGCAAAAGCATAAACTAGGCTTAACTCGTGCGTTCACTCACAGAGTGTGACCCCCAGTGGACTTATTAGGAATAGCAGGTACTGTTGTAGAAATGCAAGTTATGTCTTTCAAGTCTCACAGTAGCAAAGTGGTCCGGCGGGCCGCACTGAATCTCCCGGCGGGCCGGCGGGCCATAGACATCATGATACCTATGATTCAATGTTTGATTGTGCCCAAAAGCTGTATTTCACACCTTAAACAGTTGTTTCTGGATCCTCAGCCAATCACAAGTAGAGAGGACAGTAGCAGAAGTAGCCCAGACAAAAGGGAAGAAACCAATGGAAACACCAGACACAGCGGGAGTCTTGGGTTGGGAAGTAATGGAGGCAGAGGGAACAATTACAGAAAACCAAGCACCGTCTTCTTTCCCAGCAAAAGTGGAAGATACGTCGGGATTAGTAAAGGCTATTGTGGGTGTTTTCAACAAAGGGTAAGTGTAATACAGGCCTGAAACTAATAGTGTGCGCATGCGTCATAGTGTGCATCAATCATTGCTAACCCCAAATGAAGATATTCCAGAGTTCCCTTTATCATACATTATGCTCATTGTATTTTTCTATTCAGATTCAGACATTTCAAATTTTGGCGTAAAGGAAATAACTGAAATGCATTTGCATGCAAATTTATTTCACCTACTCCATTACTTACTGGTCTCTATAATAGGTTCCATGTTTATTGAAACCATTGTTTTGCCACGGTTCCAGGTTTCACTCACTCACTCCAGTATCCATGTCTCCCAGTTATGAAACAGTAGCATCTATTTTCGGGCCGTCTAGCTCTACTTTAGCTGAAGTGGAACACCAACCCATGACTGCCTTTTCTAAGGATCTGAAAGACAAGCCATTGGCCTCTTCAGATGAGACACATTTTGCTGGCAGCACAACTTCCATTCAGAAGATAGAGAGCCAGTTGGAAGACATTTACATCAAAGATAAAATTGAATATCCAGGTAGTGCTGAGCCTTACACGTTGGACTTGGAAGGTGACCGATCAGCGTCTCCATCACCAACTACCAACAATGATGACAGGTTTTTGGTTTGTGCAACCATTAGGAAATGGCCACCACTGACAGAGTCAGATATCACTGAAGTATCAAAGGAGAATAGTGGACAAGTAGAGGAGCAAGAGGCCTTTCTTGATAAATGGCATGCAGAGGAAACATCGCTCACCGGACAGGATTCACATTGTACAATGTATATTGAAAGCTTGTTAGCAAGGCAACAGACTGGGACAGAAGAGGAAGAAGTTAGAACAGACTCAATTTCATCACAGCGGAATGAAGGGTGAGTGCTGCGGGACAATGACTCATTTAAGTGTTGCACGGTGTGATAGTGTATATGTTCTGCGTTTTGATGATAACATTGTCTCTTGTTCTGCTTATGAGCGCTTGCTACTCAGAAAATTTTGATTGTCAATTATCTGTGATAGCCGTAAAGATTGGTATTGTGATATGGAATGGTACTGTTAACCTTTTTGTGGTGTCGTTTTAAGTATTGTAAACTTAGGGACAATTTGTCTTGCTTTATATGCTGCTGTGTTGTTGATGATGATGGCCAGGATGTTTTTAAAATTTGTTACATGATTTGCTGACTCAGTTGAGCATATTTATTGGTTTGACATAAAGTGCATGGTACAACTGCGTATATGACAAGGAAGAGCCCATTCTGAAGCTTATCCTTTCTCTTCCTTAAGCCCCCAACAAACAAACATGGAAGAAATTACATCAAATGAGTCACGCACAAATTCCAATGTTCACAGTGAAAAACTCATGGAGAAACCCTTATATATTCAGGACATTAGTCCAGTTGGACCACATGCTACCATTGCTGACCGTGGAAGAAAGCCAAAGAGAAATGTTCCAAAACCTCAACCGAGAAGGTTTGATCAGGAAAAGGATACTATTCCAGTACGACCACTCAGAAAGAAGGATAGTTTAACCTCAGACAGCAAACAAAAATCTGATGTTGTGTCGGTCAATCTCTTCCCTGAGGTTTCTCCAATCCAATATCTAGAGAAAAATACTAGTGGTGAGATACAACTTGCCACTGCCCCATATTGCCGGATGAAGAAAGGAGCCGGTAGCATTACCAGTGTAGCTCAAAATGGTCATGCCCAAAAAAGTGATAGTACTCAAGTAACTTCACACTTAAGTGACTATAGACACAAAGGAGAAACTGAATCTGTGCAAATATACAGGGACGTTGTTGTGCCGCCTTGTGTGAAAAGAAGAGATGGCAGTTTGCCACTTGAAACTCCAGAGAAAACTGCCCCTTGCAAGCCTCTGAGGAGAAAAGACAGTGTGACTAGGGAGACACTTGTTCCAAAAACCAATGACCAACAGGATTTAAAAGCCAAGGTCAGCTCGGATCCAGTTCCTCCTCAACCATATAAGAGGAGCTTTTTTGTTTCAGGAGCTCTTGAGTCTTTACAGAGCATTGATGAACCCAGTCAAACAGAAATGTCATTACTCCCTTCACAACCAGTAGGAAAAAAAGAACAAACAATCAAACTAAATTTGGTTGGGAGTGCCTCTGCAAAGGCAGCTACAGAAATAGTCTGCACAATGCACACAGAGCAACCCTCTCATGCTTCGGAATGGCATAAGAAAGATATCAACACATGTGTCAAGGCCTCTTCTCTCACAATTCTCCCATCACAAACAAAGGGAATTGGAAGTATCACACCAAAGTCTGAACCAGACAGGCTTCATGTTGAGCAAACTGCTTCTCTCTCAATCATCAAGAAAATACATCTTCCCCAGCGGGGCAAGAAATTCACCTTAAACAAATCCGGCAAAATCTGCAGTGACAAGGAGTCTGTAAAACCAGTCCAGATAATAAACACTGTTTATAAACACAGGGAAGAAATACAGCAGTCACATATTGCTGGCGAAAAAACTGTTGATATGATTGGCATCATGTCCTCTCAGAAAAAAGAAGAAACATCAGAGAAAGGACAAGCAGAGAAGGACAGACAAACATCTCTTTGTATCCCAAGGCCACGTGAGAGAAAACGTCTCAGCGGCTCCTTCCAAGATGATGTGACACCTATGGCGAGCACATCAAAGTCTTCCCATGGAGAAAATGGAGAGGCATCAAAGCAATTTGGTCCTTTAGCCTTTTCTTCAACAACTAACAAATTGTCAAAAGCGAAACATAGCAAACAATTTCCTTCTCTTCCTTTGGGTGATCAACCTTCTTCATCCACAAAAATAATGAATCCTGTGACGTTAAGGAGAAGTAGATCGGCCACTGAGGGCAGGGTTCAGGGAGAGGATGGTCATATTTCAGAGAAGACACCAGGAGCTTCAGGCTTACCTGTACCAAAACCAAGAGTAAAGAAACGTCTCAGTGATTCATTTCCAGATGCCACTTCACTTGACTTACCACCTCCCCGCCTGCCAGACACATTAAAAGACACTGGGGATGAATCAGTCCAACAGAATGACCAGTCAAGGTTGCCACGACCATTGCCGCGGGCCAAGAAACATCTCAGTGCCAAATATTCAGACAACACAGTGCTTGCAACTAATGTTTCTCCTCCAGAATTGGAATTGAGAAACCCAGAGGCTATACACGCCACTGGCAAGGAAACTAAGGAAGGCCCAAAATCGCTGGATTCAAGTGTGATCTCTGAAGGAGGCTTCGTCACAATCCAAGGAGAAGATAATGGTGCGTCACAGTTGGAACGGGAAGTGCTCGAAGCAATGGAAGAAAATGAATTTCATCAGGTAGACGCTGTTGAAGATGATGAGAAAAAACTGGATGAAATCATTGATGGCTGGACCTTTACAGAAAAACCTGTTGCCACAAATGACTCAGAGAAGGCTGCAGAGTGTATGCCTCAGCAAGCTAACATTGAAAAAGTCCTGGGAGAAGAGGTTGATAGGGCTCAAACTTCTCAGGATGACTGGCTACACGTAGGTGATAAAGACAGTGAACGAGTGGAAACTAACGCGAGGAAGGAAATGAGGGACGAAGAGTTGGACTTTGGCTTTGTTTCTGTAGATGCTGATTGTTTCGAAGAAGAAAGGTAAGATTAGTCAGTAAACATACTGAATGACTCTAACTCTACTCAATAAAAATGAGCATGTGTTTGTATTTCTTAATAATTGAACATGGTGTGGCCTCATTAGAACATGGTTTACAAAATCATCAATAACCAGACAAAAATGTTTGTGACATTGTGACATTTAATTTTCACTTTATTTTGTTTTTGTGTTTTTGCAGGCAGAGGGAGAAGTCACAGGTTGGTTGCTTTCACCAAGCCAATGAAACAACAACACAGCAGAAAAGACCTGCAGATGGGGATACGGCTCCGGAAGTATGTGCAAGTTGTTGCTCAAAGTGAAGAGTTATCAATGAATCTGGAGTTATTTACAATCTTCCTGCAATACTGTAATTATGTGTTCTAGGGCTTTTCACCAACTCCCAGCTTAGTGACATCCAGCCAGTCTCTACTGGACTGGTGTCAGGAAGTCACACAGGGTCACAAGGGATTGAAGATCACCAATTTCAGCACCTCCTGGAGAAATGGCCTTGCCTTTTGTGCCATTTTACATCACTTCCAACCAGAAAATATGTGAGAAAGCTGTTGGAGTTTTGTATTCTTCCTAATGCTTGCAGTGTTATTCATGCTTACTTTGTCTTTTCTTTCTGTGTGAAGTAATTTTGAAATGCTGAACCCGTATGACATCAAGGACAACAATAAGAAGGTGATTGTTAAATAAAAGACCCAACATTACCTATATAATCGTTTCATGTGTTCACGTGTGGTTAATGATTACTAATCAGATTTATTGTCCTTCATACTACAGGCCTTTGATGGCTTTGCCGAACTTGGCATTTCCAAGCTGATGGAGCCTTCAGACATGGTCATGCTGCCGGTGCCTGACCGCCTCATCGTCATGACCTACCTCAACCAGATCCGCACCCATTTCACTGGCCAGCAGCTCAGTGTGCTACACATAGCAAAGAATAGCAGCGAGTCCAGCTATGCAGTAGCAGGGGACCGGGAGGGCCAAGAGGACCCTGAGGCAACTGTTCGCTACTGTGCCCAGCGGTTGCAAGAAGAGGGTATTAGTCTAGACACCAACGGGACTGCAGGCACCGCACAGTCGGCGGACAATAAAACCAGGGATGTCGTGCCACCTCCCAGAAGCAGACGGGAGCAGGTTGCTGGGGTTCAGCCACCAGTCGCGCCACCAAGGACTCATTTCCTGTCCAAGACTGGGTTCTCTCATGTCAAAGACGCGGATCTGGTCAAGAAGCGTAGATCACAGCGGAGGAGTATGTCATTAGAAGAAGGAGACATATCGGTGGTATGAGTCCTACTTCGTCTTATTCATCTCCTTTTTATTGTCATCGTTGCATTTTTCACTTCCTTGCCCCCCACCCCCACACACATCTCCCTCAGTGACTGTACTTCCCCCTCCAGGGTGTGTGGCTTGACTGCCACACACCCTCCTCCAGCCACTGAACATTTGCACTGTTATTACATATACATTTCTTACTGTTCATATTGCATAACTATTTCTTACTGTACATATCTATTTATTCACTTATTACACTTTACATATGCACATACTCTGCACTTTTTGCTATTTTGCACTCTGGTTGGATGTTAAACTGCATTTCGTTGCCTCAGTACTTGTACCCTGTGCAATGACAATAAAGTTGAATCTAATCTAGAAATCTAATGTATGTGCAACTTTTTGTGTTCGCAGGTTGTTGCAGGTCAAGATGATCGTGTGATTTCTCGGAGGAAGTCAGATACCGGTAAGATTTCATATATCTGTGTTAACATGAATATTAATGTATCCACCTTAGTAGAAACTGTGACATTTTAGTAGTATAGTAGAAACTAAAGTTGTTGAGCTTCATTCATTCTAGTGGTATTTGTATTTGTCGTACAGAGAGAACAGAGGCTGAAGTTGAGGAGGGAAGATCAGAGAGCCAAGTCAGTCCCCATTTCTTTCATTGCAGGGTTGAATATCTACAAGTGCCTAACTGTCTGTTTTTGTTAATTGTGCTTGTTTGTGCATGTATGAATGTATTCAGGACCCCAACCAGTATGTGCTGAGTCAGATAGAAGCCCTGGAAGCGGAACAAAGTCATATTGATAACAGAGCAGGTGTTGTGGAGAGGAAACTCAGACAATTGCTGGAAACGGGTAAGATTATCTCACTACAGATGGTGCATAATGAATGATATGCACATTCAAACTCAGGGTGGCAGTAATAGCAGAATTTGTAAAAACAATTAAGCTTAAGGACAACCATTTGGATGGTACTTATTAAATAGATTATTTTAAAGTATTCATAGTGAAACAGCATTATTCCACTGTAAGAAAGAAAGAGAAGGAACATGACTAACTGATTTTCTCTTGTAGGTAGTGACAAGGTGGAGGAGGAGAGGTTGATTCAGGAATGGTTCATACTGGTCAACAAGAAGAATGCTTTAATCAGGAGGCAGGACCATCTGCAGCTTCTGTAAGACATCCATGACACTTACTGATGAAAACTGTACAATTCAACCTCGCCTACTGTTTGTGATCCCCTTTTGGTTCTGCTGAGTTGAGACAATGTGAAAGTGTCTTGAACTTGCATTCCTTCTACTGACCAGCAGGGCGTGACTGTCATAAAGAAGTCTGATTGCACGGAATGAGAAACTTACTCTACTTATCTCGTGATTTATTCTCTCAGTAAACATGGTAAACATGAGCTGACTTATTCTTCTACTGCACGATGTTCATTCAGTAAATGATGGTCCTGCCAGTCAAATGCAGCTGAAGCACACTCTGCTCTGCTTGTGTGTGTTTGTGTGTGTGTGTGTGTGTGTGTGTGTGTGTGTGTGTGTGTGTGTGCGTGGTGATGGCTTTGAGCTCATCCAATCCCCCCTGTATGCATAAATCCTCAGCCCGCCATCCACCCAAAAGAGATATTTCCTTCGATTTTTTGCCAGTCTGTATGATATGTTACTGTTTTCTTTAATGAGTAACTTGAATGATAAAATAGTCTGCTTTAAGAAATTGTTAGTTCCCATATAGGTCACGTCACTGCATGACATTTAAGCAGCATTTGTACTTTTAAACTAAATAATGAATGAAATTATGCTGCTTCTCTCAACATTTCTCACTTAAAATCCTGAAACACAAGTTTGCTGTTGTCGTTGGGCAGGATACTCAAGTAAAATGAGAAATTGTAGGTAACATTCCACTTTTGACCTTTGATGTGAAATGCTGATATGAAAGGTACTAACTCAACGTTCACTCACATCAGAAATCTCATTCATCTCTTGTAATTGACAGGCTGGAGGAACAAGACTTGGAACGAAAATTTGAACTATTGAACAAAGAGCTGAGGGACATAATGGCAATTGAAGGTAAGATTTTACTGCTAAACAAACACCACTTCAACATCACTCCCAAACACAGTGCATGAGATTGGCCACTGAGGTCCACTGTTGGATGGCAGCGTGCAGGGCTTGACATTAGCACCCAGCCAACCGCCCAACGCGGGTAGAATTCGTTCTGTGGCGGGTAAAGCAGTCACTCTCACTAGCCACTTTGGCGCGTGGAATTCTATATATCTCTGTCTAGTTTTTATTGTAGTGTAACGGACCGTCTAATGGTTAGTGTTTTGCGTTTGAGATAGTATGTCCCTTCAGTTTAAACATAGTTGCTCTGGGTGTTACCTTCATGTCCATTCATGGTCACTTACAAATTTAAGAGCGCAAAATGGTCCTGCCGTTTCAATTACGAGAAAGATTCTTTACAACATCTGTTGTACACAAATCATTATATTGTGTCATCCCTACAGAAAGCATGAGGACCCAAGTCCCAATATACACTTTGTTCACGCTGCAGGGTCACAATCGCAATTAAAAGTATGTTTTTCTTCAAAAGACTAAATCTTACAACAACAACCACCCTTAGGACAATGGATCTTTATGATCTTTATGAGCAATAACATTATTATCCCCAACCAAGATAAGGATAAACAATACATTATTGGGATGTCAGTAACTAGCAACCCCCCCATACCCTCACCCCTCACTGTTCTTTGGCTCCTTCTCTGTCTTTGGGGTGCAGAGGGGCAGAAGACTCCCGTCCATAAACAGAGAGAGCAGCTGCTGCTTCAAGAGCTGGTTTCACTGGTCAACCAGAGGGACGAACTCGTCCACAACATCGACGCGAAAGAGAGAGGGTGAGACACACTTCCTCAGCTGATACACACACTTTCATGATTCTGCAGCAGCTCCTGCGACTCTCCTCGTCTCCCCTTGTCCGCAGAGCTCTAGAGGAGGATGAGCGTCTTGAGCGAGGCCTGGAGCAGCGGAGGAGGAAGTACGCCAAGCAGCAGAAAGAAAAGTGTGTGATGCAGTAGCAACAGATTCTGTGAACTCTTTGGCCACGAAACGCTGCTTCACACGTCTGACAGGACGCGGGTGTGAACACATGTTTGGTCCTCTTTTCACCTGCTGTCAGACTGAAGTGGACATTTGCATGTAGCGGGGGTCCTTCTGACCAGATATGAGGTGGAGTGAGGCTCGTAAAAATAAACTTTTTGCTTTTGGTTTGCTTTCCTTTTTCAATGATGTAAGATGTAGTGTTTGCCTCCATTTTGTGCCCCAAGATCAAAGTATTTAAAATGGGCTCTATTGTCATACTCCACAAATCAATGTGTTGCCTACAAACTAACCCGTACAGGAGATTCAGCACCAACGAGGAGTAGAGGCAGCGAGAGAGAGAGAGAGATAGACGCTTGCAGGTTTTCACTGTTTGCTTTGCAGTTTCTGTGCTCTGTGTGTGTGTGTGTTTTCAGTAACTGTTGTTACAGACGTGAATTGATTGAGAATGTGTATACGACTTGGAGATGTCTGGTACAAGTATGAGTTGCCAAAAACAACAGAAGTATTTCTGACCATGTTGGGATTGCACCTCCTGATAGTAAAATCTAATGGCAGTTCATTCATAGTTTCAGTGTTTCCCGGTCAGGGTTAGTTTTTGACAGATGAGGAAATCTCAGTTCCGAGGTAAAAGACTTGGGGTGTTGTTTTTATCCTAATGTTTAGTGGGATAAAGGACGAGCGAATACAGCCACTTTAAATAACTTAATGGGTAGATTTAAAATGGTGGTGTTTATTCAAGTCATCTATCTGAGAAGCAGCCACACAGATATTAAGATGAAAACATCCATCTGTTTAGATGGCACAACAGCATTTATCCTCTCTGGAAACTGATGACAGTGACATTTATACATGTAGGATTTTGTTTCACATTTCACATGTTGTTTAGAAAATGTTCTGGTGAGACTTAAGTGGCTAAACACATTCAATGACTCCTGCCTTTTATTTTGAAAGATCTTTAAAGTACCAGACAATTTGATCTTGAAATGAAAGGTAAAGACGGGAATGTCTTTTCATCCTCAAAGCCATATGTTTGTTAGCATGATAATAACATGAGCTTAAAGTTAAAAAAAAACATTTTTCTAGTTTTGCACTGAAAAATATTTTACTTCAGTGCGAGAAGGTCCTGTAACAGCGGCGTTTATTTTATGTGTTTGCAGTTGACCCGTTGACGGCTGTTTGTAGCCGCTCGGATACCTCGTGTGAATGAGTCACAACCTTTTAGAAGGATTGCTGTTATTATTTGTGGTTTTATGTTACATTTGCACAATTTGTAAAGTTTAGAAAATATAAAAGATCTGAACAAATTTAACATATCATGCAGTTTTATTTGATATTGTATCATCGATTGTTTGGTTTTGAAGATTGGAGTTTTGTAAACTTTTTTTTCTACACTATTTTCTTTTAACACCCAGCAGACACGAATCGACATTCGCATTTGGCGTTCTGTTCAACATTCACTCTTCTTTTACTCTCTTTCTCAATGAACTGTTGAGGGAAATATCTGTCTCTTTTGCTGCTAAATGTTACCCTTTTCTCACCAGCTAGTCACTAACTTTGTCTGAAAGTAACACACCAATCTATTTACACTAGATTTATTTTTATATTTATTCATTCATTATTTCCTAACTTGTTCCCTTGAACCTACAGTAAAGGTTTGATTATTCATATTATTATTTTATTGTGATATGACTGTGGGCCATAATCTAAAGCAACTTTATTTATTTGTAATATTTTGGTTATTATTTATAGTACTGTGAAGTTTTATTAGTAGTACTAATACGCAATAAGTAAGCAATGAATAATGCATTTAAGTTGAATGGAAATTGAATACACACTAAATCCTTCTAATTTAAATCATATTTATTTGATGTAAGATTGAGATTATGAGAGATTATGATATTATTTATAATGTAGATCTAGATGTAGATGTACATATACCGTATTTAGAAGGTTTGTCTGCATCATACTATTCAGGACACAAACATACAGTTAGGAAGTTTATACTAAAAATGTATTCTAGCTGAACACTATGAACATTTCACAATTCATATATGTCATTCAGCCTGGACCAACTGACTCCTCCTTGATTTATGAGCAGATGCAAACAGCTGCTTCCTGTGTGCGTGAAGCACATCACAAACCCACCAACGCAGAGGAAAAAGATGCAACACAAAACAACGCCCCTTGTACTGGAGGGCACAGGGCTGGTGGTGTCGGGGGGGAAGGGCAGGGAGGACGTATCCGTACTCACTCGGTATTGGTCTCTCTGGGTGCTGAGAGTGATTCAGTGGTCCGCTGTGCCGGATGGGCTGGTTGACGTCCACTCTCTGCCTCAGGAGGCTCCTGTGGTCCTCCATGCATCTCATTTGGTCCTGTAGTCCTCCATCCTTCTCAACTGATCCTGTAGTCCTCCATCCTACACATCTGGTCCTGTAGTCCTCCATCCTTCTCATCTGGTCCTGTAGTCCTCCATCCTTCTCACCTGGTCCAGTAGTCCTCCATTCTTCTCATCTTGTCCTGTAGTCCTGCATCCTTCTCATCTGGTCCTGTAGTCCTCCATCCTTCTCACCTGGTCCAGTAGTCCTCCATTATTCTCATCTTGTCCTGTAGTCCTGCATCCCCTTCTTCTGGTCTTTGGTACCCCATCCTTCCTTCCTTCTCATCTGACCAGTACAGGACCAGATATGAAAGATGGGGGATTACAGGACCAGATGAGAAGGATGGGGGACTACATAGTCCCCTATCCTTCCCATCAGGTCATGAAGTCCCCCATCCTTCTCATGTGGTAGGTCTCCCTCCTTCTCATCTAGTCCTGTAGTTCTTCATCCTTTTCTTCTTGTCTTGTAGTCCCCCATCCTTGTCATCTGGTCTTGTAGGCCTCCATCCTTCTCATTTGATCCTGTAGTCCTCCATCCTTCTCATCTGGTCTAGTAGTCCTCCATTCTTCTCATCTGGTCCTGTAGCTCTCCATCCTTCTCATCAGGTCCTGAAGTCCTCCATCCTTCTCATTTGGTAAGCCTCCCTCCTTCTCATCTATTTCTGTAGTTCTTCATCTTTCTCTTCTTGTATTGTGGTCCTCCATCCTTGTCATCTGGTCCTGTAGTCCTCCATCCTTGTCATCTGGTCTTTGGTCCTCCATCCTTCTCATCTGGTCCTGTAGTCTTCCGTCCTTCTCATCTTGGTCTCATTGTTTCTCATGAATTGATCAAATAGTATTGTTTCACATGAACTCCTTGTATATTTCTTCTCACTTACTGTAATAGTGGGGAAAAACATTATCTCCACTCTTCTTCAATCCACATAAATCTAAACCATCTTAGAACTCTGAAGTCCACTGTAAGTTTATTTATGCATTTCTGACTATTCTGTTTGAAAACATGCCCATCCATTGTTCCGTGATGAGATGATAAAATTGATGACTATGAAAATATTATTCATGGAACACCCTTGACTCTGCAGTATCTAGGAGCAGCAGCAATCATAGTCAGCAAGAAAACAAGTAGGAACCTTTTTAAAAGCCCTGCAACTTAAACTTCCTCACACAATGGCAGCAAACGCTGGTGAAACAAAACAAAAAAGGTAGACATATGAAGTTTTTTTTTAGCAAATTATCATACTTCAGATACATATTATATTAAATTCAAATTAAATTACTTAAAATATCCCTAACTTCCTACTTTGACAATATAACAGACTTTCTATTTAACTTGTGGATGACGTATAACCTTAAAAAATAGATGACGGAAAAAGTTCTGCCTGCTTTTCTAAAGAGAGAAAAAATAAAAAGCGGAAATGAGAACACTTGCCCAATCCAGGATATAAAAGACTAAAACTAAACTAAACTAAACTAAAAGCAAGACTGAGGAGCTGCCTCAGAGGACACAGAATATAGACAGAGCATAGGAGTGTGTGACACGACACAATGATTGAATGAAGGAGCGCAGCCTCATAATTCATCAACGTGTCGGGACTCATCAGGAATCATGTGAAAAATGACGAATTGCCCAAAACCGAGCAAAAATGTTTCATTGGAATGAATGGAGTTAAAAAAAAAAAAAAAACTTTGCAGCCATACTGACTCCCTATACTTCAACATAGAAAAATTATTTGAAGCCTCAAACATAGGAAAAAGTCTTGACCTTTATGAGCCAAAAGGCCATACACATACCTCCAATGGCTGTCTTCTAATCCTAGTTCAAGTTTTAGGAAAGTGTAAGACCATTTCTGTGTTTACAATGGGTGTGTACGTGGGCAGTTAGAGGGCCGATTGGGATGTTTCTACATCGCCCTAATTTAACCAACACCAACCACATCACCAAGACTGCCATCTTCCACCTCTGGAACATAACAAGGCTTCGACCCTCCCTCTCCTCTGCCACCATCGAAATTCTCAACCGTGACCTCTAGACTCAACTACTGCAACAGAACCCTAAAGACCATCAGAACCAAGTGCACCTCCCCTCTGGAACGCCCTCCCCATCCAAATCCGCCAGACTCCCACCCTGTCATCTTTCAAACAAGCCTTCAAAACCCACCTCCTCAAACTTGCCTTCGACTGCTAACCCCTACATGCAGGGGTTCCCACACGACCCGCAAGCTACTTTTCAATGATCTACCCACTCCCTTTGGGTGTCTAGAGTAAAGTATTATTATTATTATTTCCACAATTTTAACCCTTCATGCTTCATTTTTGGAAATCTTGTGCTGGTCGTACCCATGTGGCTATGGAATCCAACAGACGTTCGCTTTTAGCCGCAAAACACCATGAGCGAGACATAGTCCGACTCAAGCTCCATAGAGACCAATTCAAATCTGGTGAGGAGTTTGGAGACTGGCGATATCCTCATATTTATGACTGCAGAGACATATTAATCATATTGAAATGTTTGGTAGAGCCTTGGGCGCTCAAAATCTCCTTATTTCTTTGTTTACTCATAGTTTTGCAGGCACATACACTTGTTTGACGTGTGAATTTTAGGTAAAATCCCTGTTTACTCTATCCGGTCTTTGATCAGCTCGTTAATGATCGCAGCTACGCCGTATCTGGCAACCAGGGCCAGCCCTTCCTACAGGCGACCAAGGCGACCGCCTAGGGTGCCAAAGTCGTGAGGGTGCCCTCTAGTGGTGCCCTTAAGCATACATCTTTCTCTCAACAACATTGATTAACAAAATTAAATCAAACCCTGGTGAAATAAAACCATCATTAAAACAAACAGACATGGCGCCCCGCCATACATTGAAATTCAATTTTAGCTTGGGGGGTGACGACCCGCGCAGCAGACCTTATGATTGCGTGCGTTTCAAGGGAATGGGCACACTCAGATCAAGCTAACGTAAAATGACAAGGTCCGAACTCTCTGGTGCAAAAGCAAATCACTCTTGGTAGAGGAAAAAAAAACTATACTAGTAACTAGTATAGTAACTAACTATACTATAACTATACTACTTTTTATTTACTTACTTAGTTAATCAAAGAACAAAAATATCTGTACAAGGTACAAAAAACGGAGCAAGACTAGAAAGGGGACGATGTGACACACTTGAATTTTCTAGTTAGAATTATACTTTATACTTTAGAGTGTCTTTATTTTGTGTGTTCTGAAGCATATTGCATCTTTGAAAACAACACCACGAATACAGGAACTCAGAAGGGTGGGGGTGGAGGGGAAGACTTATCTCAGCACTTTAATTACGACATTCCTCATTGTCAAGTCAACAGCGAATGTAAATGCAGACAGACTCAACTAGTAGCACCGTCACAGGCGCATGTGAGAACACACCTCAAACCTGCTGGAAACATGGCTGTGGGTAACCTGGTGCTGAGGCGTGTCTGGCCTCCTTTAATCCTATTCTGGATCTGCCTGTGGGAAGTCGGCTGTGATGATCAACACCAAGCAGAGGAGGGTGAGTCTTCAGGAGTTCGACACTCGAGGGTTCAACAATGTTACTGTGCACATTGGTGTCTTACATTTTAACATGCTTATGTGGTGATGTCATTGTAAATTTTAAGTCTGAGGCACAATTCTATAAAGTGGGCCATAAGAAGTGATTGAGATTTTTAAAAGTGCTGTTTATGGTATATATGTATATGATAATCTTCTCATTTTTGTCACGGTGTGGGTTTGTTCACTTCCTGCCCTGTCGTGTCGTGTCACCCCCTGCGATGGTCTGCCGTGTTCCTGGTTGTTTCCACCTGTGTCCAATCATCTGTACCTTCCCAGTGTATTTAAGCAACGTGTGTCTCTTGTCGCGTCATTGAATGTCGTTACTATGGTGTGTGCGTCCTGGGTTGTCGGTGATGTCCTGTTCCGTGTTTGGCCTCTAGGCATTTTGGGGTTTTGTGTCAAAATAAAGTACTTTATTAGTTCAACCCGCTTCCGTCTACCGGATGTGACCATTGTAAATAGGGTGACAATAGAAATGCCCTAAGACTTTATCATGTATTTTATCTGCATTGTATGTGTATATATTTGAAGAATGGGAAGAACAAGTTTTCATGATTGTATCGAAAGTTTAAAAAATAGTTGCAATATAAGTAGGGCTCATAAAGTTTTTTGTTTTTTTAAATTATTTTGAAAGACTGTTGCTCACAGGCTCTGAACATACATTTTGGCTGGATTTGAATTGTCAAATTTGCTTAGGAAGGGTGAATGAGCCGGAAGTAGTGTAAGTGACCGCCAAGATAAGCGCTGTTTGAATTCTTCACTATCTTTCACAAAAGGGAGGGAGATGATTCCATCCCACGATTCCGTCCCACGATTCCGTCCCACGATTCCGTCCTGCGGCGGCAATATTTAAATAGCAACGTATCATTTGGCCGTTCACGAGAAATAACGATTATGACCGAGAAACGCAGACCATGTCAGCAACCATTAGCATAACTCTTCGCAACCTTATAAATAAAGCAATACTTTGAACCTGGTTGTTCGTGGCCTGCATGATACAGCACTGTAACTACACATGGATGAAGGCATCTAAGATGCGCTTCTTTGTAGAGTCCATTTTCTGAGAAATTGTAGTTTGGCCGCTGCTGACTGACGTCCATAACATGCGTCTCCCGTTGCATCATAACTACGTAATGTCAAGGAATAGATGTTAGGAGGTAATTTTTTTGACAATTTGAATCCAGCCACAGACAACCATTGGGTCACGGGGATGTTGATCAGTACTCAACCAATGAGAGCATTGAGAGGCGGGACTAAGACTGTGGCAGCATTGAGATAGACCTTAACAGTTCTCCAATACAATTTTTCAGAGCAATATTATTGTCGCTAAGAACTATTTTCTATTTAAAGATAGAAAAAAGGAATGCAATGTATAGAGGGAAACCTCTCGAGAGCCGTGTGAAGGCAAAGATTTGCTCAAAGGTTTGTTTTACATCACTCCTTTACTAAATTCTACAAAAGAGTTTTGTTTAAAGATGGAGGAAGCAACGTTAAACAGCCCCCTGATGAAGACAAGGGGGAAACACTTGGCAGATTAGGGAATAATAGAGCAAGAGCAGCCTCATGCTTAGTGTTGAAAGGGGATGCAAAGTGTTGTGCCAGCCCCTGCTATTAAGTCACTTATAGTTCGGTTTAGAAAACAAGTCCAGCTTGATTGGAGAGAGGAACAGTTATCTTTCTCTGTCTTTGACTTTATTTAGTAGAGATTTTCCAATCTGATAAACAGACCAGGCTGGAATGGAATTCTGACCCAACCAATGAAGTAAGTTGGATTGCTAAGTGACACATTTCCATGTCATTATAAAATGTATCATGTACTGTAAAAACACAATTTAATGAATTGCTTAATAATGACCCCAGTATGAACTAGTTCCTGTTTTTAAATTTCCTCTATTTTTAACTTCAATCTACTGTTTTGAAATGCCCTTCATTTAGTTCAGCAACTACTAAAAAGTTGTTGACGTGGTTGGTTGATGTGGCCTGTAGCTTTTGTTATGAGTGAAATAATGAACTAATTTTGTAAAAAACAACAACAACAACAACCACATTTGTCTTTTACTGAGGTTGTTGCACCTGTAGTTCTACTCTGCAGCTTTTCACTGGCGTTCTCTTGCATCTTCCTGCTATCACAGTGGAATGAAATCCAGCTCACAGTTGGCACACCGAGTCCAGTACCCGTGCTTCAAGCTTGTGGAAGAATCGTAACGAGAACGATTTTAAGCAGATGGATGGAGCGGAAAGGTGCCCGCCATCTACTGATGGATGTTTCATTTGCCCAAGAAGAGGAGCCGTCTCATCAGCTCACCCCGCTAAAAGTTTACCTGTTTGATTCAAACACACCTATTGCAAGATTTCAAAACACTCAGGCTGTTTTGGACCTTCAGACCTCCAAGGCATTCCCTGTAACAGTCCCTCCAAACCAGGTATCCAGGTATCTGAACCGCAGCCGGGCTCTGAGCCTGGGCTCCGTGAGCAGCAGGGGCTTCCATCTGGCCCTCTCCTATTCAGGAAGGTGTGTGCTAATAGCTTCCATCAGACTGTACTACAGGAGGTGCCCTTACACCGTGGCAAACCTTGCCTCGTTTGAGGCAACCGGGGCCGCGTCTGGTCCATTAAAGGGTTCCTGCGTGAAGGGCGCCGTGGAGCTTTTCCCACCTGTTAGAGAGTGTGATGTGGATGGAGTTTGGAGTCCAGTGCAGGGTGGGTGTAACTGTAAGGCTGGCCATCAAGTCATGGAGGACACCTGTCAAGGTATGGAGATTTACAGTTAATTCAAATGTCCAAAAAGAGGCAATCTGGCAGTCATTATACAGCACAACAGTCAAATGGAAGGCAGAATTTAATGTGGAAAGATAAATGTCTTTTACTCTAATTCATCACAAGTGAATGTTGTTAGCACATTGAAAAGGCTATAGAATTCTGAAACCATCTGCGTTTTGATTGGCTCCCTAGGAACCTGGCCTTCATTGTGGCTCTTTAATTATTTATTAATTTCAACTTAACACAATTTTCCAATGTGCAAACTGCCACGGATGTCATCAAAACATGACAGCATTTGATTTTTGCCAATATTTGTGAAAAATATTGACACATTTCGAGAAGTACTGTGGCGAGGAATCTTGCAAGGATGACTCTTCACCATGATCCTCATCCTTTTCGGGATAATATATTCCCAGTCCAAATCTCTTTGGAACCATGACTTTGCAAAACAAAAACAAAAAAAGGCTTATTCAATAATCATTTTATTACATATCCTAAGTGCAAACCTTCACCAATGCCAATGCCAATCAAATCTAATAAATATCAAGAAGTGTCAAGAAATTTCATAAATATGTTTGTGGTCGATTGAAAATAGCTGTTTTTTCATCAACCACTTTATTTTCACACTGTAAAATGTCACTACATATTTCTCTTGTTTGTTATATATGAACACTGTTTATGTATTACAAATAAATTGCTAATATGTCATTGGATCAAAAATCTCAATTCCAACTTGACCAGTACAACTACAGTCTGACCACAGCAGCTGCCCTGTTCACTATTTCTATTTCACCAGTGTGTAGAATGGGCTTCTACAAACCAATCAATGGGAGTGGAGAATGCCGGCCATGCCCGCAGAATAGCAGGACGCATGGGGAGGGAACAGAGAAGTGCGACTGTCTGCAAGATTTCAACAGACTGCCAACTGACCCCTATGAGCTCGGCTGCACCAGTAAGAAACACTGGTGTTCTCCTAGTATGAAAAGGATGCACAGGAACTAACATTAAAGTCATCATATTGAATTTGAAAATTGTCTGCTTTGGCTCCCCCAGTGGTAGTATCACAACAGACGTGGTGGCAGAATGGACAACTCTTTTTTTCATCTGTCACTGTGACCCATTTCCAATCAATTTATGTATTGATTGTCAAATTGATTGATTGATGTCCCTGATTTTCAACCCGATGCTGGACTTGTATGTCTTCATCTAATGTTATTTGAATTTTCTCCAGATAGATTTTGATTTTGACTCTGATCATGTTTCGCTTCCCTGTCCTGTCTTTCAGAGCCGCCCTCTGCCCCCGTGAATCTAACGGTCTATTATCCCAATGTCTCTGTGCTGATGGTGACGTGGGATCCTCCGCAGGACTGGGGCGGCAGACATGAAATTAAGTATTCCATCAAGTGTGAGTGGGAAGCGGATTCTGGCCATCGGTGGAAGGCATGTGGGGACGATGTGATTTTCCTTCCATACTCGGCAGGCCTGACCAACACGTCAGTCAGCATCACAGAAGTGAATCCGCAGCTCAACTACAGACTTACAGTGCAAGCCCAGAATGACCTATCCGATCTGCGGGGAACGCTGGCTTCATCCACCGCCACCATCACCATCCATAGATGTACGTAACTCTGACTAGATGTCTTCAACACGTTGAATCATCCAGGAAAAGACTGTAAAAAACAGGCTACCTCATCACAGGGGTGGCCAGTGTTGTGACAACATCATTTGAGGGTTTATATCTGGTTTCAGTTCCCAACAGTAAACTTCCCATGTTGAATGAGTTTGACTATGCAACTCAAACAAGACATGTTCTTCCTCTTTCCGTAGAAAACAACACAGAAAAATACACTATTTCTTAATTAACAACAGCTTTGTTGACATGTTCTTACTTTATCTGGTATGACCAAGCTGCATTGACATTAGCGCATGTTAGTTCATGTTAGCAAGCTTTACATTTAAAGCTTTACATTGCTGTGTTATTGATAAGGCCAAGTCGGTTTGATGCCTTTATGACTTGTGTTCCATTAGTGTAAGAGTCATGCAATGGCAAAAGTTCTATTTTGGGAATACAACATGCAGCAATGACCAGAGCTATACATCCCTAAAGTCTCAACATCTCAACGTCACTCCCGGACATTGCAAATATGGTGACTTCTCTTTATTGGAAAAATCCCAAATGGCGACAGCAAAAGTCAAGGCTTTAAAATGGCGGTCCACCAACGTGTGGGTGGCTTCATAATGAGTCACCCACTTCTTCTTTACAGTTCATGGTCCACACCTAAATGTAAAGAATAACCATTCGTCCATGATATTTGCTGTGCATATCCATGGTCCCAGGAAGATGAAACTTTGAGATAAAGAGTAAAAATAATCAATTTTTTATGAAAGTGTGGTTCGGTTTGGGAGCCACAGTGAACACTTCTTTTTTTCTCATAGGGAAAGTTCCACCTGTGGAGATCACTGTGACATCGGACTTAAACGTCTCAAAGCACCACATAGTGCCGGCTGCTGAGCCGAGTCGCCTCTACATGTGGCTAACAGTCGGAGTCTTGTTTGGCCTCCTGCTGCTCGGGGCTGTTTTCCCCTTTGCTGTGTGTGTCCTGCGCAGCCACTACACCAAACTCAGGTAAAGGGAGGCTTCACTTCTGCTTCTTTTGAAATAACAATAGAAAAATGTTTTATAAGTAGACACATTTCTGAGTTCATTGTGATACAATATGAGTTGTAGCTTTTTTCTATAGCACCTGGCTGCCTAGCTGTATTTGATAAGGTGGATTGTTTTGCAAAGAACAAGCTCACACTGGTAGTACGTTAACCGTTGGCTTAAGGTGTGAAATTCTGAGCTATTTCCCCACATGGCTCTCAACAAGGCTTCGGCTACTAAGGAGGAGAGTGGGGGGGGGGGGGGGGGTCTTACATTGTTTCTATATCCTCAAAGGGGGCCCTGAAAGAAAACATTTGGGAATCAGAACCACTACTTGTTGCAATGTCAATGTTTCCTTCGGCGAGACACTTAATCCAAAGTTGCAACTGGTGTATGAATGTGAGTTACTGATGGGCAGGTGTCACTGTGTGAAGTAGCTCCTGTCATCTGTGTATGAATGGGTGAGAAAGAGATTTGAGTGGTCGGTATACTATCAAAGAATAGTTTTAGGTTTAAGGTTTGACCATATTTTGCATGTAGACTGGACCTGATCTCTGGGGTGCACAGCACAAGTACCAATGTTTAAAACCGAATACGGAGAGCCGCTGGTAACCAGTGAAGGGAGAGGAAGAGCAGGGGGAATTTGGGTAGGTCGAACACGAGTCTGCATTCTAGATGAGCTGCAGAGGTCGGATGGGGCTGGCTTGTACACCTGCTAGGAGGTTGTTACAATTGTCAACCTGTGAAATGACCAGAGCCTGGATCAGAGCCTGTGTTTCCTTCTTAGTGAGAAGGGGACATATTCTCCTGATGTTGTGCAGCATGTATCTACAGGAACCATTGGTGGCTTCTTCTGGTAGGGCCAGCCAATCAGTTTCAGAAAATAGCCCAAAAATCACAAATTACAAAGTTGCCTCAGAGGGCTTTATAGTCTGCACACATACCACGACATCCTCTCTCCCGAAACCCCACCATCGGCACAGGAAAAACTCCCCAAAAAATGGAAAAAACCCTTCCAAGAGGGAAAAAAAGGGAAGAAACCTTAGGGAGAACGTCATAGGAGGGATCCCACTCCCGGGATGGACAGACTACAATGGATGCCATGTGTACAGAATGAAAAATGTATAATACATTCAATTCCTATGACAGACATGATTCAAGTAATTGTGAGTAGTAAGCTAGGCGCACGGCAGGACCACTTCAGAGACAACCACCATCAGATAGAACCACCCTCCCCACAGAAACCTGCAGGGAGGGAAACCACAAATACTTTAAGAAAGGGTAATGTTGGTTTATGATTAATATGATTAATATTTAAAATAATAATGATGATGATGGCAGCCGCAAATGTCAGCAGGGCCACGGCAGGTGTCCAGAAGGAACTACGATCCACGGAGACCTGCTAGGGGAGAAAGCACAAAAAAACTCCCGGAAAGAAGCTGAATTAGTCATGTGCATTAATAAAACGTGTATCATTGTAGAAAGAGAGTGAGAGAGGAGCTTGTGTGTCCTAAGAAGTTCCCCGGCGGTCTAAGCCTATAGCAGCTTAACTAAGGGCTGGTCCAGGCTAACCTGAGCCAGCCCTAACTATAAGCAAAATCAAAGAGGAAAGTTTTAGGCTTTACTTTAAAAGAGTTGACCGAATCTGCCCCTCCGGACTGAAAGTGGAAGCTGGTTCCACAAAGGGGGAGCTTGATAACTGAAGGCTCTGGCTCCCATCCTACTTTTTAACACCCTAGGAACAACAAGTAACCCAGCATCTATGGAGTGCAGCTGCCTTGTAGGGCAATACGGTGTTACAAGCTCTTTTAGATAAGACGGGGCCTCACCATTAAGTGCCTTGTAGGTGAGGAGAAGTACCTTAAATTCTATTCTTGATTAAACAGGGAGCCAGTGCAGAGAAGTTAAAAAAGGAGTAATATGATCCCTTTTCTTAGTTTGTGTTAATATACATGCTGCAGCATTCTGAATAAACTGGAGAGGCTTAAGAGATTTACACGGGAAGCCTAAAAACAAAGAATTATAGTAATCCATTCTGGAAGTGACAAACGCAACTAATTTTTCTGCATCACTTTGAGACAGGAAGTTCTTGATTTTTGATGTGTTACGTAGATGAAAAAAGGCAGTCCTTGAAGTCTTCTTTATATGAGAGTTGAAGATCATATCCTGGTCGAAGAGAACTCCCGGATTCCTGAGGGTGCTGCTGGTTACCAGAGCAATTCCATCCATAAAAACTGTATCACGTGACAGCTGGCTTCGAAGGCGCTATCAAGATAACTTCTGTTTTTTCTGAGTTCAGCATCAGGAAGTTGCCGGTCATCCGAGTTTTGATGTCTCCAAGACATTCTTGAAGTCTAGCAAGCTGGTCGGTCTCTTCTGGTTTGCTCGACAGATATAGTTGAGTATCGTCTGCATAACAATGGAAGTTTATGCGGTGTTTCCTGATAAGATCACCCAAAGGAAGCATATAGAGGGTAAAAAAAATTGGTCCAAGTACAGAACCTTGTGGGACACCGTGAACAACATTGGTGGTCCTCAAGGATTCACCGTTTACAAGCACAAACTGGGATCGATCCGATAAGTAGGATTTAAACCAGCTGAGTGCAGTTCCTTTGATACCAATTAAATGTTCTAGTCTCTGCAACAGGATACAATGGTCTATGGTATCAAATGCGGCACTGAGGTCCAGCAACACAAGAAAAGAGATGAGTCCTTGGTCCGATTTAAAGAAGTCACTTGGTCAAGGTTGATGGAAGAGAAGGCATCCAAGCAGGCATCAGGGCCCACTGCTGCATCCAAGGTTCCTACATCTGAGGACAGGTCGGCACTCGTTGAAGGCAGGAGACCATCAATTTTGTCTTTGATAGTCAGAATCGTATCATTGAAGACATTCATGAAGTCGTTACTACTGAGGTCCAAAGGAATACACGGCTCGACCGGGCTGTGACTCTCTGTCCATCTGGCTACAGTGTTGAAGAGAAACCTGGAGTTGTTTTTATTTTTCTCTATTAATGATGAGTAATAAGATGCTCTTGCGTTACGGAGAGCCTTCTTATATGTTTTAAGGCTGTCTTGCCAAACTAGCCTAGATCCTTCTGATTTGGTGGAACACCATAATCGTTCAAGTTTCCACACAGTTTGCTTTAGGTTCCGTGTTTGAGGGTTATCCCAAGGAGCAAACTTCCTTCTTGTTGCTATTCTTCTTTCCAGAGGAGCAATAGCGTCCAGCGCCACTCTCAAAGAGCCTGCAGCAGTATCGACAAAATGATCGACCTGGGATGGACTGAAGTTCTCACAGGAGTCTTCTGATATCTTGAGACAGGGCAAGTGTCGACTGTAGAAAACCTTGGCATGAGGAGGAGATTCCGGTAGAGAAATTCAAAGGTTATCAGACAATGGTCCGACAGGAGAGGGTTCTGTGGAAAGATTGTTAAATGTTCAATCCCATTCCCATACACAAGAACCAAGTCGAGAGTGTGGTTAAAACAGTGAGTCGGTTTATTTACACTCTGACAGAAACCAATTGAGTCTAACAATGAAAGAAATGCAGTACTAAGGCTGTCGTTGTCGACATCCACATGAATGTTAAAATCACCCACAATAATTAATTAATATATAACTATATAACAATTTCACCAACAGGCCTCAACAGGAATTAGAGCTTTTGCCCATGAATGCACCTTCCAGCCCACCTCCACAGCAGCTGGAGGCTGCACCTCAGACGTCCAACAGTAAGCATTTACCACTCATTTATCTTTAATCAGCAATTGGCTAAACTGCTTCTTAGACCCGCTTTTTTGGGGCCTGGCCCGAGCCCAGCTGAGACATGCAGACAGGCGGAGGACGTATATTTTCCTCAGATATCTTATTTTATCTTAAATATTACTGGGTATATTCCATATTTCAAAAACACAAATATACAAATATTGACTATTTGTAAAATGTACTTTTAATATGATGAAAAAATATATATTTGGCCCCATGGCCCTCTAAGGGCCAGCCGCCACTGACAGGAATGTCTTGTTGTTGTGATGTTGGCAGTGAGGGAAAGTTTACTTTTGAGTGTCACACCGAGGTTCCTAGCAGTTAGGGATGAGGTCAGGACGGAGTTATCAAAGGTAACAGTCAGGTTGTTGGTGGGAGAAAAAGAAGTCCAGTCTTGTCAAGATTACTTTTCTTTTCTCACTACCACAGCAACCTGTCATTTGACAAGATAGATGTCTTATTCATACAATTTCCTTTCAGTAGGAAGACCAGCCACTTTTTAAATCTTATTCATGATTCTTATTCAAAGGGAGCTCAGACAATTTAGAAGTAAATCCTTTGACTTCCTATTTGTTTCAGTGATAGAGGGTGTGGTCCAGCTTTTTGAGGGGCTCAGTGACCGGCTGCTGTCCAGTCTTAAGGAGGTCCTTGTGGAAAGAAACAAGCTCACCCTGGGCAAGGAGCTCGGCAAAGGTCAGTTTATGGTTTCTCATGAAAAAGATCCCGTCACAGTTCAACTGTGGTTCATGGTTCCATGGTTAACTACAGGTTTTGTTGACTAATTCGTAACCAGTTCAGTTCTCATGATTATGATCATTTAAAAAAAAAAGTGAAAAGGGATATTGCTAACCAAATCAAGTGCCAGTATGCACTATACTATCATAATGACCTATGTATTTGCACCTGCAAAAAGCCAATGTTTTTCTTTACACTCACTTTACTGGAATTAGAACATCATTGAATAATAAACAAGTGAATGATTTTTATTGTAAAGCCTGACTGTTCACTAAAATCAACGTTTAAAGCAACGAAAGGTATGAAACAGGCCACAAAAATGCAGAAAATTGACAAATGTATCAAAAGCTGGTTCTAATAGTTCTTTGCCAGGTTTAGGAGCCTGTCGTGGATTAGCCAATGTCAAAACAGCAAAAAACAAAATTCAGTGACAACAAAGTTGATTACCAATGCGCTGTAGCGGTTAAGTACTTGTGCTGTGATACGACTAAGTGCAGACTGCGATATTCCCACTGCTGATGCTATGGCTCTTTGAAATAATCCTGATGCCAATAATGTAGCAAGGAGTTTAACAACTGCTGGAATGGAATGTAAACGCTGAGTCGGAGAGGCAATGTCATCTTTGGTTTCTTCCTTTATCTGTAATATTGCATGGCTGCTTCATCCGTAACGTATAATGATTTTGTGTTCACTCAACTGAAAAAGTGTGATCCTTGTGGCAAAAATCCTTTTAGCTTGTCTCCTTGGCCTATGTCGCCATCAGGCTCGGATTACTGTTGCCATTTCACCAGGAGGCATATGTGAGGAAACCCGCATTCTGGTTTGCACCTGCTTTGAAGAGGCAGAGAATTTTCACTGCGGGCTTGTTTGTACATACCTCGCCATGGTTTTACACACACATTGCAAAACAAATACGCCTGAATTGGGCGCAAACGCGTGCGTACATGAGGTCCTCAGAGTCTTCAACCATTCTAGTGGATCTGGGGGTCTGTCGATAGTGGTGCTTTGGACCAAATTAGCAGGCTAACACGCTCACATTGACAGAGTAAGTGTTAAGTGCGATTATTGTCTCTAACAAGTTGGAGGCCAATACATCCAATAGTAGTTTTAGTAAATGTCAATATCTTGATCAAAAGTCAAAATCTAAAGTAATACAGATCCATCCTTTGGGAACCTTCAATTTCTGTACCAAATTCTTTCCCAATCCATTACGTAGATTTCGTTGATGAGTTGATGTGCTGCTGGTTGCATTAGAAGGTACGTCGGGGAATTACAGCGAATTGAATAAGAATTATGATGTGAGGATTCATCCTCTTGGAACGATGAATGATCACAACTTTTATGGCAAGCCATCCTAATTTTGCTGTGGCACTTACAATTTGACCAAATTGGTGGTAAAAAATGTAATTTTTTTCTGCATATTTACACCAATATTTGATTTGGCAGTTTATTTCTTCTGCTCTGCAGGAGAATTTGGCTCAGTCTACGAAGGTGTTTTTACACTAGATGAAGGCGGGGACATCAAGGTGGCCGTGAAGACCATGAGAGGTGTGTGTACTGAAATCAAGCCCTTTATTAGGACTCTCATCTGCTACTTCTTATTATTCATTCTGTTTCTCCAACCCACATAGTTGGAATCCACAGTCAAGAAGACTTACATGAGTTTTTGAGAGAGGCAGATATCATGAAGAACTTTGATCATGAAAATGTGGTTGGACTACTTGGTAAGATAACATTTTCATCCTAGAACCGATTTATTTCTCTTTCTATACTCAAGCTTTATACATGTTCTGTTGAGTATTAATGGGTAAATCAGTGGCTCATTAGGTTAGCCATTGACATATATCACATATTACAGTAATGTTGTAATTTTGGGGAAATTTACAACTCATGTCTACAGTTACGTATGTTTGGGCGATGACTAAATATAAAAATGAACACCTTAACCAACTTTATATAAAATGTTTTCATATTTGTAAGCTGAAAACTTCTTTGTCTTCCTTATCTTCAAAAACTTTTTTCTTATTGGGTCCATCATGAAAACCCTGAGCAATTTTACCAACTCTGTGCCAAAGTAGCTATCAGCACTAGCCCAAAAAGTTGCAAAATCGAGCAAGAAAGTTGAAAGTTGGCAGAATCAACACTCAAAACTCCCTGCAAAGCCACTCCTCCAAAATTCTCAGAATGGCCATGAACAAACATGGCAAGTGTTAGCAGTCTTAGCTGGTAGGCTAGCAGCTAAAGGAAGACTCAAGTCAAGTACAATGAGTTCACAGCTACAATTTAGATAAGCAGAAGTGGTCCGTTCAATCATTATTTTTGAGACCAATGAAATAAGAGAGTCTGTTTGATTCTAGAGGCAATTACAGGTTTCATGTTGTATCCAAAGACTCAGCTTAGTATTGTCAGCCTTGTGAAAGAGTGTGTGTCTGTTTGTCCTGCAGGGGTTACTTTACAGAGAGAGCAGGACTTTCCTCTGCCTGTCCCTCTGGTCATCCTGCCTTACATGAAACATAGAGACCTGCGCCGCTTCCTCATTGCTACCCGATATGGCGATATTCCTATGGTGAAACTTCCCACGCATACACCGATACACACAGCTTACCTATAGAAGAATGCAATAACGTTACTTAGCATTGGCCATAGTTACTCGCTGCCTCTTTTATGTTTGAAATTCATAATTGATAGCCAGGCAGGTAAATGTGCTCAGCTTGTCGGTGTTGACTTGACATTGGAAAATATACAGACATGTTACCCAGAAATCCTCATTGCATCATATTTAAGATGGGTTTGGCTTTTTGAGGGTATTTATCCGTTAAAAACTGGAACACATGAATAAATTAAGCTCATTACATTACATTACATTACAGGTCATTTAGCAGAAGCTCATCACATCATCCATCCATCTTCAAACCACTTAGCCGTCATATCGGGTCACGTAGGGACTGGAGTCAATCCCAGTTAACGGGCGAGAAACGGGGTACACCCTGTTCGCAAACCAATCGCAGGGCTAACACAGAGACAAACAACCATTCACACTCACATCCACACACCTACGGGCAATTTAGCGATGCCAATTAATCTAATCCATTCATCATTTTTATCTTTATTTTATTTTCATGCTAGGGAGGAGTGATAAGAGATCTGCAATCTCACCACTAAATGACAGATACCTAAACTCAGCATTCTCGTTTCCCTCCCCTACAATTTAACATTCACAAATATCCAAAAGATCACATCCTTCTCCCACCTTCTTCCAGTTTGTGCCCCATCAGAGTCTCCTGCGCTTTGGGATCGACATTGCAGCAGGGATGGCCTATCTGAGCGCGAAGGGGTTCCTGCACAGAGATCTAGCTGCACGCAACTGCATGTGAGTCCAGAAGCAGGCAGTGAGAGGGGGGAGAGGGGCTTCAAAATGAAGGACTACTTGTTGGTATATGACTGTGTCTCTGTCCTCAGCCATTGGTATTCAGCCGTAGCTTGTATATGAGAAGGAAGCTGCTCAAAATGTAAGTGAGCAGACTCAGGGTCTGAGAGGAGACGCTGTGTGTGAAGACATTGACTAACGGAACTTTTTACTCCCCACTGCATAACTTGTGCTGAATATATTGAACACACTTTTAAAAACCTGTTTCTTAATTCACAGGCTGGGCGATGACCTCAGGGTGTGTGTGGCTGACTTCGGCCTGTCAAAGAAAATCTACAGCAGCAATTATTATCGTCAAAAGGCAACTATCCGTGTGCCAATTAAGTGGATGGCCATCGAGAGCCTGTCTGAGTCCATCTACTCTTCCAAAAGTGACGTGGTGAGTCCACTCTTGGTGGAGCATCACCTTACTTTGACAGCCCCACTATCAGCAGCTCATGTCTGGGTCGTGATAATTGCTGATCATCTTACAGAATTCTCCTCTGAATATGATTTCTCGTCCCTGTTCTCTTTAGTGGTCATTTGGGGTGACCATGTGGGAGATTGTGTCCCGAGGTCGGACCCCCTATCCAGGAGTTCACAACCACGAGCTGCTAGAGCTGCTGCTGTCTGGACACAGGCTCAAACCCCCGGAGGACTGTGACCACAATCTGTGAGTCCAGTGGCACACTTGCTCCTGGTTATGAGAAATAACATAAAGCTGTTGGTACTAGAAGTTCATTCAGTTTGAATATATGCTATGCATGAATATATCCTAAGAAACGAAACGTGCAAAACACATCGATATAAAAAAACATAATTCTCACAATATCAGTGTCATCCGGCGGGCCGCCGGGTCGCGAGTTTGACACATGGGGACTAAGATGACGATATTTATACCTTTATACCGGGGTCGACATGGCGCAGAGGTAGAGAGGGTGCGGCGGGAACCGCGAGCCCCAGCTGCTCCATGTCCCATGTTGAAGTGTCCCTGAGCAAGACACCTAAGCCCTAATTGCTCCCCCGGGCAAAAATGTAAAAAGCCATGGGTTAAAAATGTAATGTAAGTTGCTTTGGATAAAAGTGTCAGCTAAATGTCCTGTAATGTAATGTAATACCTGTTTAACATCTGCCTGCAAATATAGAATATATTTATTACTTTGTTGCACATTTATAAATTGTTAATGTATTGTAAGATTCCTTAGTTTTAACATATTCATACTGAAGTTACTCAAATACAAATCCAGGGGTTAAATAAAAAATGAATAGAATTTTAAAATGATTAAACTTTTCCCCACTTTCTGACAAATTACATATCACTCGACACAAAGATGGAATCTGTAACAATAGGTCCCATATTAATATTGCTGTGCCTTAAAGCATGGGGATTATTCTTGTATATCTATAGGATTTATAGTTGTTATGCCTCCCTGCCCAACCTTCATTTCCTCCCATACACAGTTATGAAGTGATGCAGAGCTGCTGGGACAAGGAGCCGAGCCGTAGGCCTGACTTCAAGGAACTGGGCGAGATACTTAAAGGTCTTCTCTCTGAGCTGCCAGCGCTGAAGGCCAGCCAGGAGGCCGGCTACATCAACCACGGCCTGGAGGTTGCCGCTGCCGTTTCCGCCTCTCAGGATCCACGGACGGATTCTGGAGGAAGATTGGAAAATTTGTACCGGCCTAGTCCTGGTGGTGCTGCAGCCAGTGATGAAAATGTGGAAGCTGATAGACTGTAACTTAGTTTTTAAAAAGTTTTTGTATATCTGCTTTGCAAATCCATTACGAGAATTATCTGTCATTAGAAAAGATAAATGTATTTGGAATTGTAGAATATTATAAACAAACTGACAACCCAGGTTATAAATTAGACCAATTAATAAAATGCATTTAGTGTACACCAGTGCTGTACCAATGCACAGCTATGATTGTGCTCAATGTAATGTAATGAACCGAAATGCATGTAATCTTGATGGCTCAACTGATATTGACCAAGAGACATTCGAAATTACATTGAACGAACGCCCCAGGAGAAGTCACATGCCTAGGGCCGTGGACAATGCCTTTCACACCTTTACTGATCTGTATAAATACCTGTAGGCATATGCTTTTTTTAGCACAGCACCTTTTCTTTTATTGAATACTTTTGATTTGAACTTTTCAATCCTGTCTTATGTCCGTCTGGAGTTTCTTCATTAAAATAACACAGATTCAACAGATTCTAATGGCAATGCTGTCCCCAATGGCACTTAATAAACTACAATCCCATCAGCCCACCAAACGTGGATTCGACAAGGTTTCTGAGTAGCGCCACGTCACCACACGTCACGATACGTCACCACACGTCACTACCGCACCTGCGCAGCCATCTTGAGCCGCTAGCAAGCAACGGGCACAAAAAGGCAAAAAGCAGGAGTAAAATACAGCTGTCTGACCGTCGGAAACAGAGATATGTCCGCTAGAATCAAGGACATATGAAACGATAGAGGTCGAATACAGTGGAATGACCAGGGGACAATAACAGAGACGGTGAAACAGCCAGCTAAGTGCCTCGGATACGCGGAAGTCATCTTTTTCACCCGAGTAGGAAGGAAGAGTCGAATCTCCCGACAGAAAAACACCTCCAGAGTGAAACCATGAATCCCGAATAGTGAGTCCCGTTCAACCCGCAACATTGTGAACCAGTTAATGTCGAGTGCGGTTACACGTCCTCACTGTACGATGGCCTGTTCCGTTGTGTAACCTTGTTGTGCTGTCAATGAGTGTGTTGTTAAGCAGTAATTAGCTAACGTTAGCGGTGAACAGGGCGCGGACGTGCTTTCTGTCCCCGTGTCGGCCGTGACACGCGACCTTTCCACGGGGACGGACACACGGATGTGTCCGCCCGGTCAGAGAGCCGCCGCCACGGCAGTGAGCTCCCGGTACGATCCGCGAGGAAGAGCTCCAGCGTGCCGGTAGCGGTGCTGTGGCGGATGGCGGACCCGTGTCCTCCGCGGACGTTAGCCCGCGAATCACACGGACGCGTCGGATCTGTGGCTACGTGCGCTTCACACGGCCGGTAACTTCATTTTAAATGCGCCATAAGTGCGTTTGTTTTCTCGAGTTACTTTTGTGAGACTCCAGTGTCTGGTTTCCTCCAGAGATTGACGTCACGAGCAGATTGGACTGAAGGCATGTCCGTCATCTGTAGATGCATTTAACAGCTAAATAGTTAACGCGGTAACGACGTAATTAACGTCACCCACTACATACATACGCACATGTATGTGCATGTTAGTTAGGCGGATGAAATAATCTCCCGCTGTGAGCTGATGCTACATGACAAGGCAGCTAGAGCAGATGTTTGACAGCTGTCCCTGAAGGGGGAGGACCATGGATTTGTCCCCGGGTCGGTCGGAGCTGTCCCGGTGTCCACGTCAGAGACTTGAGTCCTGATGGAAGCGTCTGTAGCTTAATCCAACGCCTCCACGCCCTCGCATGCTTTCTCACGATGTTGACTTTGAGACCGTGTGTCTCGTTAGATGTCCCTTCACAGCGACCACTGCTGCACCCGGATCAGCCTGCATGTGGTGAGGTGTCAAATATTTGAGTTTATTCAAAGGTTAAAAAAAAAAAACATTTGATGATGCAAATCATTTTATACGTGTTTGTTATTCTCCAACGTTAAAGGGAACTCTGTTAATCAGGATCCCCTCAATGGGTCATCACCATTCCACAGGTCGCATCATTTAACCCCAACGGCCTTGAATGTCTAAATAGTTGTTGTCTTTACACAAAAAAGGGCGTAAAATGAATTCAACAATAAAACATGATTAAGTGATGTCTGACCAGAGAAAGAACTAGCAGAGCATTCTTGGTGTCTTCCATGAGGATGGAGCTTCCACCCAGCTGCCCATCAGACATCTTTGACGGCCTGCAACACTGTGTTTTATATCAGTATCGCCCTGTTCGATACTATTTAGTGTACCGGCATGTACAACATTTTTTTGTATAACATTCATCATTCTAGAACATTAGCATCTTTTCTGAAAAGAAAAAAAACTGTTGAAAAAACTATTCCTAAGTATGGAATCAGAAAAGCTACACTTTGTATCAAAGAATACACCGCCTGTAGCATCCACGTCTTGTTGGCGGCGTTTTGTACAATCCTTTAGGGTAAAGGAATCACGCGGCTTGGCTAGAGTAATGGATACATGCTTGTCGCTAGCTTTGTTTGCTGAATGGAAGGAAAGGGGAGAGAGTCCTGTTTTTTGTTGACCCCTAATTACGCCATTTCAGTTGTTTACACCACGTTGCCATCGCAGTTAATCGCTGTTAATAACCTTTCATATACCAAGGAGAAAGTATTTTCAAGGGATCTATGAATGCATGCTATACAGCACATTTGACGTTTGTTTCCAAAGAATAAAGCAACACAACTCGGTGAGATCCTTTGCTTAGTCTCTTCTACGCTTTGAGGTTGCACATAGTCACCCACGCTGCTCTTATTACTGAATCACTGCCTAATTAAGAGCCGTCTCCGTATGTCTGAGATTAAGTTCACAATAGGCTGCGCACTTAAGAGGGTATCTGGGCAGCTTGCTGAAATGAATGGTGGGGGATGAGCTGCCCTCATCAACACAATCCACAAGCCGTGTGGAAATATGAAGTGGGCTGATTGCAACAGTGCTGTTGATGAGACGTGAGATCGCAGCAGCTGATTGAGAGTCAGGCACAACAAGTCTCACCTTTCCCATGCCACAAGAATATCCGTGGTGTTGGGCAACTCTCCTCGGCTGTCCTTCCTGTGTGACAAATTCATGTGACATTTTCCCTCAGTGATGGGGGGGGGGGGGGGGGGGGTTTTACCCACCATTCCAAAGAACCCCCGCCGCTTGTGAAGTGAAGAGCAAAACCGTTAAAAAGTCTAGTGATCGACAGTCCCCATTCCAGGGCCGGATGGACCTGCCGGCTCTAGCATGGTTTCATTTTTGACTTGATGAATTGAAAACAGTGTCAAAAACTAAAATCCCCACATAAATGTCCCCCCCCCACTATTTTTTAATGGAAGGTTTTTTTAGGTCAAACATTAAAGGTAATTTAGGGATATTTTAGTAAACAGTTGTTTGCTGAATTCCAACCTCTTCTTTCAGATTGCACTCGTTATCTCAGTTCCAGCTCGTACTCTTGACCTTCGCTTTCATCGGTTAAAGTGATAACTTGTGGAAGCTGTCTGGTAGCTAGATGGCTAGCTTGTTAATTCCACCATGCTTTGGTTACAACAGATTCGATACTGTTTAGATACTTGGGCTCTCTTCTTCACTGTAAAGGTTTAACTCCGTGAGTCCACCATTGGAGTTCTTACAGAAGTGAAAAGGTCTGAGACACCCTTCTCCTTTGATTTAAGTCTTTGTTCTACTCCTGCTCTATTTCTACATACCAAACCAACAGAGAGTGCATAGTGTGTCTCTGCACCACAGATGTTTAAAAAAAATCATAAATCCCCACTAACGCACCAAATGTCCATCTGGTCTGCCAGCAAATGTATTATTCCATAAATGTATCATTCCTCCTTTTTGAGGAACAGTTACTAAAAACTACAGTGAGCGGCACTTTCAGTAAAATACTGAGGCTTTGTAAAAAAAAACCACACAATTTAACACAATTTTTTGTGAGGTTGTTTTTAGGTATCTTGAGTAGAAACCAGTGGGTTTTTAGCTGAGAGTGACCGACGAAGAAAGAAAAGTTGCATGTCTTCATTCAATGTCGTGAACTTCGAGCACTTTTTTCAGCTGTCACATTGTTGCTATTTATATTGTTGTGTATGAATATACAGATGTGCCTGTGCTAACCTGTCGTGTTGTTCTTCCAGTGACTACCTCTTTAAGCTCCTGCTCATCGGAGACTCTGGAGTCGGGAAGTCCTGCCTCTTGCTCCGCTTCGCTGTAAGTAGATCAGTCCCACCCTCCAAGAAGCTTGTTCCCATCTCTCCTCCTAAGGCTCTAAACATCTCCCTCTCCACAGGATGACACCTACACAGAGAGCTACATCAGCACCATCGGAGTGGACTTCAAGATCCGCACTATCGAGCTTGACGGCAAGACCATCAAACTGCAGATTGTGAGTTCTCACACACACACACACACACATACACATACACATACACATTCGGACCGAGCCGATCCTGGATGAATTGGGAACAGGCTCCGCCATCCCAAACAGAGCTGACACACTGTAACTCTTCTCATACATGTACACTTCTGGTCAGCTTTTTTTGTTTTCTTTGTTCCACTTTAGGTGAAACATAGTTGATATTCATTATTTTAATGTAAACTCCGTAATTGTAAATTGTGTTATTTGGGAAGGTTGTATAAAACCGATAGCCCTCAATATTTCTGAAGCTTTCAGAACTTTGTGATGCTTCAGTATTAGGTTTTTCTAAATGGAAGTATGTGGTGGCGATGAAAGACCTGCTTCAGTAAGGAAATTAAATAATTTGCGTTACCGTATTTTCCGCACTCCAAGGCACATTTAAAAGCCTTTCATTTTCTCAAAAAACGACAGTGCGCCTTATATACGGATCAATTGGTTAATCGGTTGATCCATACTGGTTGTACACAGCGCTCAAGGCGCTCTGCCAAACATGCCAAAGCTCGGTCTACGACGGCGAGATGCTGAGCGGCGCTCAAGCGTGTGAGATATGGAGCTTGTTTCAGGGCGCATCGGAGAAACCAAGCTGTCGTTCTCGCCGAGCACTTCATGAGATTAAAGAGCGAGAGACGGTGCCGTTTTCTCTACAGTAGCTGAACCATCTTAATGGGGGAAATAAGTTATTCTAAAAGGGCTGGAGAGCAGCCGAAGATTTAAGGCGTGGATGGCGAGGGGGGCGGCGGGAGCGGACGCACTTCGCAGCACCGATTGGACCCTGAAAGCACCGTCTCCACCTCCCCACACCCCCCCCCCCCCCCCATCCACCCGCCCCGACGTCTAACGTTTGACTGCAGTATCTTATGCGCCTTATAATCCGGTGCGCCCTATATATGAAAATTTTTCTAAAATAGGGAATTCATTGAAGGCGCGCCTTATAGTGTGGAAAATAAATTTGGGTTGGTGCCATGACTTTTAGGCTTTCATCAAGTGCAGGAAAAGAATCCTTTGTGTCCATCACAGGCACCAGAAATGGAGCTGATAATATGCCAGAGTCTGGCATACACCTGCAGTCTCAACTGCTGACGATGTTTTTCTGCTCCATAAATACTTCAGATGACATAAAAGGCAGTTTTAAAATAGTAGTCTGAACAAAGAAATTCAGTGTGTGGATGAAATCAGCTGTCCTCTATTATCCTGTAAATGAACGTGGGAGACCAGTGTTTCCCTTAGTTGTACAGCTTTTGTAAACTTACAGATTTTTACGAATATAATGTTCGTTGAACATGTTTAATGTGCATTTAGCACGTCATTAATGTCATCAATACATGCTGGTCATAACAATACATGACATCGAATTGCCTCAAGGATTCAGAGGAGGGAGTCGTTATTTATGTATTTATTCTTTATGAAATGGTGTTTAGGTGTATCTAATCTTGTCTCCATTGCGGCCATTTTCCATCTCTGCCTGTCTGTCGCAGTGGGACACTGCCGGCCAGGAGAGGTTTCGCACCATCACCTCCAGTTACTACCGCGGAGCCCACGGCATCATAGTGGTTTATGATGTGACGGATCAGGTGGGTTCAGAGCGGCAAATGACTGTGACATTTCAGAATAGAGTTACTTTGTGTTGAGGTTCTGTAAAAAGCTGTAATGTGACCGCGGCACCTTCTCATCTGCGTGCAGGAGTCCTATAACAACGTCAAGCAGTGGCTTCAGGAAATCGACCGCTACGCCAGTGAAAATGTCAACAAGCTGCTGGTGGGAAACAAGTGTGACCTGACCACTAAGAAAGTAGTGGACTACACAACAGCCAAGGTAACAGGTTTTGTATCTGTCTGCAGGACAGAGATACAATCCTTTTGATCAGTTGTGTATATAGTCATTCTTCAAGGAAAGTGAAGAATTATGCTCATTACACTACTAGAGGTTTTATAATGTGAAACTCACAGGAACATTTTTATTATTAACAGCAATCCAAAAAACATGAATGATATTTATAATTCAAACTACTTTCGAATTGGTTTGTTTTTCTCCTAAAAAATATATTTTTGTTACTTTTTACATTATAAGCTTCTTTTGAGGTTTTTGAATGAAGCTACAAATGTCCTGTTATCTGTATAAGTTATCCCCCTACAAATATGATCAAAGAAATGGGTTATTGTGATTCTATGAAAGCCATTTAGCGAGTTGTTAGATTGTTGCTCCACTGGTGTGAGCTTTCACAACACAAGGCTTTGTAATTGGACTGTGAAGGTTACAAATGAAGCTGGGAAGCTATTTAGTACAGGAGTTATTTCAGACCATTAAAGGAGACTGGGCCGTCTGTCATCGTCATTTTCTCAATGAACTAATGGATCTCACAAAGCCTCTTTTCCAGTTGGTAACTTCTTCTAATTATTCCTAGCATTTGAAACCTTGTGAAAGTATATGTGTAAATTAGCAGTTTGCATAACAGATATGCTTATTTGCACACTTTTCGGGAAGCTGCCATAGGTTTGGATATCTCTTCCTACCTCTCCATGAATCAGTGCATGAAAACCAACGTTTTTGTGTGTATTGTCTCATCTAAATAGTAAGCCAAATCCCAGGAAAGCCTCACCTTCACGTACAGCACGAGTTACCAGTCCTCCACCCAGTGTGAGCGTCGGTTGCAGGTCTAACATGCACGCTTAACCTGCAAGCCTTCTTTCCTTGGCAGGAGTTTGCCGACTCCTTGGCCATCCCCTTCCTGGAGACCAGCGCCAAGAACGCCACCAACGTGGAGCAGGCCTTCATGACCATGGCCGCGGAGATCAAGAAGCGCATGGGCCCCGGGGCCACGGCCGGCGGAGACAAGCCCAACTTGAAGATCGATAGCACCCCCGTCCGGCAGTCCGGGGGGGGCTGCTGTTAAGAGACCCCCCTCGGCCACCGCAACAACACCCTCCGCCGCCATCTTCACTGAATTCTCCCTTTCTATGTTCCCTTCCCTAATCTCTGCTACTCCCTAACCATAACGCCACGTTACCCAGAATTGCTGGCCCCCCCTTCCTTCAGCAGATCCAGGGAGGGTCGGCCCAACAGGGACACTGTTTAAGTGTTTAGATCAGAAGACGGATTGTTCATTTCAGGCCCATCAAACAACCAGGAGAGGAAAGCTGTGAGGGAGGGACAGAGGCCGAGGCCACCTTTACGTCTGCCAAGAAGACGGAAAGAAAACCGAAATGGGGGATTGAATGGTGGGATTGGTAAAGATTTAGATTGGAATGGAGGAAGTGGAAATCTCTAAAATATATATATATATATATATATATATTATAGTGATCTTATTTCTCTATAAACACACACACATTGTAGTGAGGAGGCAGAAGTTAAAAGAAACTGGAATTCTTTGCCTACACACACACACACACACACACACACAGAGGAATATTGGCAGTGTGCTTGAGTCCCACATGGTAGGAAGTGTTGAAAGTGTTGCTGACTTATCATCTCCATTTACTGATTGGGTGTTGGGTGAGCCGCCTCCTCCCCCTCCTCACTCTCTTCAGGTTCAGACGGGACGCAGTGGGACTTTTTTTATAATGTCTTTGTCATCCAGGTGAATCTGAGCCACACACCTGTTCTCCTGCTCTTTCCGCGGGTTAATAAAGTAAAAGCATCATTCCCCCTGCGCGGCTAGTTAGCGAGTTAACTTGTAACCGGCTAGCAAGCCAGCTATACTTTAGCTCACACTACTAGTCAGCAAACTCTTGTATGCTGGGGAACGTTCCCTTCAAAGCATGTGCCGAAGCTAACGCAATAGCCTGAGATAATATTTGACTATTCGGCTCTCTGTTCCTCCAGTCACCAAAGCTGAATTACCCAGAAGCTTCGGCAGGTTTCTGAAATAAATTGCTTTAGTAAAACGTTTCCGATCCTGTAAAAAGATCCCATACAAGAGCAAATACAGACTGTAGCTATAGCTGAGTCCACATACTCAGCCGGGGGGCTGTGTGACCACCGCAATATATGGTGCTAGTTGTTCTGTTTTGTAGTCTTCATTTCATCTATAAGATAAAGCAATGTGACAAAATGTTGTAACATTTAGCACAGCCCCTTCCTGGAATGACACTAAATATTACGGGGGGGCCCAGCTTAATTTACTGAAGTACAACTGCATTGATCTTACAATTACTTTTATTATTGTAGTGTTTTTTTTGTTTTTTTTCAACCATCCCCACACAGATGGGCCCAGTAAGACACTTTGTTGGGTCTCATTAATCTGAGCTTCAACTTTTCCCATTTTATACAAAGAAGTGGAAAGTGCGGCTGGTCTCGGTTTATCTTCTAGGGCGATCCACGCTGAGCAGAAGCTGCTCCGTAGTCGTTGTCATCACTGGTGTTGTCTCCGGGGGATGGAGGGGCTGTTTGAGAGGGCTTGGGACTGACTGGTCTTGGTTTGCTGACCGGATATGAACTCCCAACTCTCCCCCCCTCCAGCCAACCGCGTCACTCCGACTCGATGAATTCCTCAAGGTCCTCCCGAAGTATGTGTGTGTGTGTGTGTGTTAACATTTGCCGTGTAATATTCCCGAGGTCTTTGGACACATGGTGGCATCACAGCATCACACGGGTCTCACTTGAGTAGATGTGAATCATTTAAACTCAACACTGGAGGGAAACACACACACGTATACCAGATCTTTTGGGGTTCAATGACTGATTTCCCTTTTTTATGTTTTATCTTAGTCTTTATATTCCACTGATTTTAATGTATTCATTGAATACCACTCTCTCTCTGTTGTAGGATTTAGGGGGAGGGGGGACTCTGGGTAGGGGGGGTCAAAGAGACTCGTCGGGGGTGTGGGGGGTCTTTTGCTTATGAATGTGATTCTGATGAAACAAAACTTTTCTTTTTACGTTCACATTTTTTGTTCTTCGTTTGGGGGGTATTTCCCACGTCATTTGCACACTGTCCGTCGCTGTTCAATAAGACACTCACTAGGTGTTGTTTGGTAATAAAAAGCACCGCCTGTCAGTCACCTTCTGGCTTCTTTTCTGTTCGGCTCGTTCACTTTGGTACCGTCTCCCTGCTGAGTTTGATCATGTTTCTTTTGTTTGTTTTCTGTACATATTATAAATATACTATATATAATAAAAGGATGAAAAAGATCAACGTCAAAACGAGCTGGTCTGGTATTGTGATGGGGGGGGCAACAGCAGCGGCCTTATATGTCATAACTCAAGAATTCATATGCTAATTATAACAATTTCTCACAAATTTCTAAACCGATAAATTGCTGGAGTGATGACATTTTGGACGGACGCTCATGTAAAATGCAACTTGACTGGTTGGTGTAGGTGACCTCAAGGTATAAAAAAATATATAAATATGTCATTAATCATGAATATTTTTTTACAATAGATAAAACACTTCAATAAAACTTCAGAAATTAAGTCAAAAGATTAAACAAGTATTAAGAAAGAAAAAGTTAGATATTTTCTGACATGGATGTGTATTTTATATACATATATAATCATAAATATAATTATATGGTGAAGGTCAATAATTGTAATCCAGGTAATAAAAGTTTGAATGAAACCCTTCTAACCAAGCTATTACAGTCAAAGATAGTAATATCTGGCTATTGAAAGCAATGGGTAGACATTGACTATAGATTAATCATTGATTACACAATATTTACTGATGTTAAAACATCATAGAAAACAGAAAATATTCTTTCTGTGCAGAATCCCTCTTCATCAAGTAACATCAATGTCAGAGGATACAAATCAAAGTGATCAAAGAAACGTTCCCAATTATAATACTACATTCTTGTTATTCCAATTGCAAATTGTTCCCAGTTGGTGACAGCCTAAAAGTCACTTAATAAGAAACGTTGCTTCATTAACATTTAATTTTTATCAAATGAAACTATGAAAATGAGTAAAAGGAACAGCAAAGCAAGGGTGTAGGGGGGGGGACATTTTGCAAGGTGCCACCTGGTGGTGGCAGCCGTAATTGGAGCTGCTAACCTGCCAACTTTCATATCAGGTTCCACAGAAGTTCCATATGTTTTTTGTTATGGGGGTGTAACAATGCATTCCACCATGTGAGGTCTACCCAGCCGGTACTTGTTGACATATTTTGCACATTGACTGATATCTACAATTTGAATGAAAGCCTACTTCCACCAGGGATGTTTATTACACAGCTTGCCATAGGAGTGCACTGTTGATGTCTACTGACGCTGCTGCAGGAAACAACGGTTACCCTGGCAACCATACTGTAGATCTTCCACGTGGAGGCCGCCCTTGATTTGTTCCCCTGCCTCTCCCCATGGAGCTTCACAGACACACTCACACTGCTGACCATGTGTAGGCAGGAGCAGCCCGGCTGTTGTACATCACTGAGTCACGGAGGGCAAATGAACAGATACTTGACATTGAGCATTTGCAGTTGTTATCCAGGGTTTGGCACCGATGAATAAAAAAGCCTGCAGACGCTCCGGGTGGGATTGCAGCTGCCCTCTGCATCCGCTCTGCAGCCTGACCCTTTCAGCAGGTATCACATGATAATACACAACTGTGTTGCACCTCCATCAGGAATTGGAGGTGTGGGTCCTCATGGAGCCCTTGAATGTGGGCCATTTAAATGCTTTGTCAGTGTTTTCTTTGAACATTTCCTTAGATGTTGAAAAGGCGATCTGCTGCTCTTCAGATGACATCTCTGTCCTAACCCCCCCTCCTCTGCTGGGGAGGTATAGGGCGCATGATTACCTTCAGGTATTTTTAGCCTATTGGGGCACTGCAAACAGTGAGGCTTCGAGTGTGCAGCTTGTAGTAGTGTGTGTGGCTGCTGCTACTACGGCGTGAGGGGTCTCCTACGGGGAGGAAGAGGCATTAAAGCCTAGCAACCTGCAGCTGATGGAGATGCGATGAGTTGGCTGAGGGTGAGCAGGTACTCAGAGAGAAGAACAAAAAGATCACTCAACACCTGCTGATTTCCACACGATTTATTTACAGATTCACCATACACCTCATGTTCCATTTGAAGCTGTGGCAGTCTACTACTGCCCAGCACATTCAGGTCATCATGTGAGCAGTCCTCGTCTGGTATTCGTCATCGGCGCTTTCTCTTTTGTCCAACACTTGAGTGTTCAGATTTGGGTTCCAGCACACGGTATTTACTGAACGCGTCTACCTCCGCCCGGGCCGCCGTCACTCGTGGCTCCCGGATGTCGTCGTCAGTCGACGGGCCCTTGGAAGATGAGTTTAATGTGGCCCTGCTCCCCTGTCAACCAGGTCCCACAGAAGGGGCAGGCAGCGTGGAAGGCGTGGGTGCCGTGGGGCAACGGGATCTGGCTCCACCCGACCACTGTCTTTTCTGAGCATACGTGGCCGCAGGGGCAGAAGGCGTGAGTAGGCGGGCCTGCGTCCAGGTACAGTCCTCCCTCACAGCCCAGCCACAGCGGCACATAGGGGCCCACTCGCCGGCACATGGGGCACTCCCTCTCCCCGGTGCTGGCTGGTGCCGTGCCCCCGGGGCCGGCGGGACCCTTCTCCTTACGATAGCCCCAATTGTGGTAGCCGTGTACGTGGCCGCAGTTGACGTAGACCCAGGGCTGCTTCTTGTCGACGATCTCTCGCTGGGCCAGACTAGGGAAGGCCAGCGTATTGAAGCCCACGGGACACTGGGGCCGGGCTGCGTTCAGCTCCTGGCGAAGGGACTCCAGCTGTTTGAGGGTGGGGGTGTGGCGCAGTCCGGAAGGGGTCCTCCACAGCAGAGTAGCCCCACAAAGATCGATCAGAGAGCCATCCTGGAGGGTGTTTGACTCGTTTTCCACCTCAAGAGGAGAACACAGGATGGACGCAGCAGGGGAAGAGAAGAAGAAGACACAGTGATTTGTTAAGTCCCCCTCCCAAGCTCCGCATGATGGCACTGTGCTGCAGTAGTTGTGTTTTTGACAGCCAGTTGACAAGCCATCTATCGGAAGCGAGTTCCCTCACATTACCGTCATCATCAGCATGTAGACATTCAAAGATTGAATTACCAGTTGAGAATAGATTTCTTTCCGTTGTTGTCAACATGTGGTTGACAGCGAGTACTCGTACCGCTACACTCACAAACACACACAAACAGACTGCATTTTCCCCTCCCCGTCCAGTTGTACACATTTGCGGATGACACTGCATTTGCAGGTTGGTATCTAACAATAATGATGATTCTCAATAATAACTTGAGAAAATTGTCCTTTGACCCCTGAGCAGGAATCTATAGACTCTTGGGGTCGAATGATCTCCTCTCGTGGGAAAATGACTGCGAGGAGGAAAGCTCAGCCTTTTTTTATGATGGGGTGATCATGCTGCTAATCTTCACACGTTTGTGGTAACTGACCGGTTTACAACCCTTTTTATTTTCAGAAAATGTCTGGTGGTGCGAATTTATTTAGAAATCCAAAAGCCACTGTCCCCTGCAAGTTTACACCAATAGGGAAAAGGGACAAGACCCTGGTGCATTGTAAAGGACTTTTTTTCCTACCTTCTGCGGAAGGAGGACGTTCACTTCATTGCATTATGTTTGTGCCAATTTCTGCAGAAATCCACACAGCTGATGGGTCTTATTGAGGTCAGTGACCTCGAACTTTGTGAGTATTTTGGAGAAAACGTACAACTCTTTTTCCATCAGCCCCGTCCATCTTACCAGTTTTCCCCTTTGTTGGGCTGAGCGAGTCTCCCTCAGGGCAAAGACGTTTCCACAAACAGAGATTTCCCTCCAGACACCCGGAGCGGGTTCAGACACGAACTCCCCCGCAGGGTGCATCACCAGCACCCCGTTGGTGGTCAGGCCGTCCATCAGGCCGTCCGACGTCCTCCATTTGGCGGCGCGCTCCTGAGGGACACACAGCAACACATCGGAGGCTCACAGGGATGATAGTGGAGGAAGGTGTCAGAGGTGGCTGGCTCGGAGAACCGCTAAAGTTGCTGTTCTCTACTGCTATATTTAGCTGAGAACACAATGACTACTGTACTGACTAATGCAGGGAGACGCGCCCACGCCTGAGAAAGAACCCATTCCTGGGGGAAAGAAAGGGTGTATAATGAACACAAGTGAAACAGCACATTTCTGGCCTGTGTGTAGCTTCATTAAAAATAGATATTTTAAAGAGCCAAGGCAGTTGTAAAGGAAAAGGTTTGCAGTGAGGTATAAGGAGCTGCCGGAGGAGAGAGGACTGTATGTGATTGACATTTCTGTTGCAAGGTCAAAGAACGTTTTAGAAAAATCTTTACAGTCCATTGGTTAGACTACTATGACTATGTTTTTATAGTGAACAATAACCAAACCAAACTTTCGCTTCAATCCGCATCCTTCCCGTTAGATGCCACTAGATCCTACACACAGGTCCTTTAAAAATTCTCTTATTACACCATATGAATTGGCTTAAATGAAATGTGTCGCTTGTAAAGGAGAACCCGTAAAGACAAGTGATCACCAACTCTGCACTTTCTTTTAAGTGTCCCCATGCAGCTTAGCTAAGGGAAACGCTCTGATAGAGCTGCTGTATTCTGCTCTGCACCAAACAACACAGACATTTAGGGACTGGCTGTTTTTTTTGCTCCACTGGTTTACAAACCCTCATCCAACACACCATACCTCTTGGAAAATGATTCTTATTGAATAACAAATCAAAATGAAGACTTAATTACTTAAGTTTAAAAAAATAATTGTGTAGAAAAATCAAACCCTTAAAGATTAATTGCTTAAATTACGTCCACACGCAAATAAAGGCAGCACTAGTGGAGCAGGCAGCAACCTGTGAAGCCAATGCAGAAATGTCTTTAACTTGCATTATCTCTGGTGACCACGACTCCTCTGGTCGTGATGTTCATTTAGTAAACTATGTCAAACAGACTATTAAGCGGGGGCTGGCTTTAGGGCTGGCTTACAGTGATTGACAGGTCGCTGCTGCTACCACAGCTGTACACGGCATCTGTATGTCACTGAAAAATACAGTGAATACAAAAATATGTGGTTCATTGGCTGCATGAACTACAATATGGCAACAACCATAATCAAAGTTGGAGCGGGCAAAATTGGCAAACTCAAGGCTTTTACAACACAAGTCCGTGCTGTATACTAACCACAAGGTTAAAGCGGTCATGGTGGCAATACGCTGCAGGAGTCCTCCCCTGTTAGCTACCATTTGCAAACGTATGAGGTTAGAACAAGATCTTTGCTGCTCAACCTTATGTTAAGGATGGCTTATTCAACCGAAGGAACGCACGCTATCGTATCCTCAGCGTCTTTTCATACAACGATGCCAGACATTAGTAACAAAATCTTAAGTACTGAAACTCACCATGCATTATTAATCAAAAATTGCATAATCCCATATTTTTCTGTTCAGTGCGTCAGACCTTGAATTGGAATGAAAAGGACTATATTTGTTCCCTGTATGAGTGTGGATGCAGTCCTGAAGCCTCCGTCACAATGTGTGTGTGTGTTGAGCTGAGCACTGGTTGATGACGTTATATCCTTGACTGCTGGCCTAGTTGTCGGGGTTCCTAATAAATCTTGCATTGGATGACGTCCTGCAATCATGACAAGGGGCTGGTATTGGCTTGCATGGCTTCTGTGCACCTAGATGTGACGTTTTAGAAGATCCGCCATGCCAGCATCCAGCCACAGACCTTTGGAAGCTTCAATATCAATAAGTGTGATAACTGAGTACAGTATAGAGAAATATGACTATTCTATGGTTTGTTCATTGGAAAACAAATAACATTCATTAAATGCCATTCCAATATTCAGTTATATATATTTGCCCACTAGCTGTAAGCGAAAATTTGGCAAGCAAAGGTTCCAGGGCCCATTGAACTAGAAAAACAGCGAGATGGAGCCCAGCAGAGGAGTGCTAAGTCAGCCTGATGGCACATGACAGAGCTCTCCAAATATTATAACATGGTGTTGACTGACACATCAACACAGACACACATAGAGCTGCAACACTGCTCCTTCTTCTCCCATGCTCCCTTGATACAGGTCACATACAGTGACACCCGTCCTTATAGCTATGGACCCGTGGGAGGCAGAGTCTCGTCCCCAATGTTGCTCTAACGACAGTTACCGTGGTTACTGGTCCCAGAGCGGTTTTGACCAGGAGAAGCCTGGTGCCCACGAGGGAGAACACTCACCCCCAGAAAGATGTTCTTGGAGGAGTCGAAGCCAGCGGCATAGATGCGGGCTGTGTAGGGAGCGCTGCGCTCGCACATGATGCGGCAGGCGTAGCGGGAGATGGTGCTCTGGGCTGACTGGCCTCCGCCGCCGCCCTCCCCTGCTGAGCCCCCACCCTGGCCACTGCTGCTGCCCGCAGTGTCCGTCACCACGAAGTCGATCATGCTCTCTGTGGACCGACCAATCTGACAGAACCCAGAGAGAAGAATCAATATCATAAAAACGTGACCAGAAGATGAACCGTAGATAATCATATTTGTTAGCTTGACTAAACGTATTTTCCTACTCACATGGGTATTTAGCCATGCAGGTTCTATTAGCAGTACTTGTCTTTGAGACTTGGAATATTAAATCATCCATCACCGAATGCTTTCCTCAATGGTCACTAAAAGAGCCGTCGTGTCACAACTATACCCCATTGGAGGGGGTTTCCACATCTTTGGTCTACTTATTATTTCATAATTATTGTGTAAATATTGTTTACACTGGCACTAGTCTTTGCGAGTGTGTGTGTGGCAAACACTGACCTGAAACATGTCTGTGTTGGTGTCATGGGTGTACTCCACAATGACAGAGTGGCTCCGTGACAATGTGTAGGATATGCTGTGCTGGCTTTTGTTGCTGAGTGCCTGCCAACAGAAGAGACATTATCCAGGTCACATGACAAGGAGAGCTGAAGGTCCGGCCTCCAGCACAATCTACCAGAGGACATTTCCTGTTCCAGAGGGACAATGCCAGCTCCAAATAATATTACATCTTATCATCAGCTGATTTATTGTTATTAGAGAGAAATCATACGATACAATGCATTGTATTATGAGTACACGCATACAGATAGGAAAGCTAATATGTTCACAATGCTAACATACGTCAATCTCAGATGTAAAGAAAGAATACAGAACAGCCAATTCTATTCATTTTAAAAGTTAAATTATTTGGTATTCAAAACGCCATCAACTGGTATTTAGTCTTAAAATTCGTTTTCTTTAGATAACACTAGATAACAAATAACCATGAAATAAACTAAAACAAAATGTATTTGTTGATTTAACATTAATTTGCCAAAACCTGGCAAATTCTGGAACAAAGATTCTTGTCCGAGTCAGGAGGCCGAGCTGTGAACTCACCTTTGACACCAGAGGGGTTGAGACATTGTGGATGACATCAGGTTTGACCCCATTGGCTTTAGGTCTCTTATAGAGGGCCAGGCGACTTCTTCTGCGACCCTTGTCTCCATTGGCCAGCGACCCATTGTGCCTGTGAAGCATGAGAAGATCATTGTAATAATGTTAATAACTGGATTGATGATAAATACTTTTTCTTTTATTCTAAGAGGTGATAAATGTCATATATACTGTAGATATTAAATAAGTAAAGCTTTGCCTGGATAGATGTGTTCATAAAAAACTTGCATAAAATATAGGCACATGATGCGCTGGCCACAGAGAGGCATTGATTGGATGGATGTTGGTGGCAGGTACTGCCCCCCCCCTGAACATCGCAAACTTATACTAATCTACAGTCAGACTCTTAAACACAATGTACTTCAGCAAGGATTGGCCCTTCAATATCTCACTCACCCTAAGACGATGAGCTCGCCGTACTTGACGGGCTCCTTGTCCTCAGGGAAAACTCCGTCGTGGGGTTGCGAGCTTGAGCCCAGAGGAGGCGAGGGCTGGCTCTTGTTGCAGGACGGGCGCAGCTCTAGAGATGGGGGGGGACACAGCGCCTCTGAGCTGCCCTCCAAAACCATGCCCACCGGCCACAACTGGGGCTCGCTGCTGGGGAGGCAAGAATGAGGGTTTGAGAGAGAGAAAGAGAGAAAGGCAAGAGATATACAGTGTGAAGTGCCAGGATGAGGTTTTTTTTGTTACTGCTAAACTTGTCACCATAGTATGCAATAAACACGGGATGATACCTCACAGAGGTTATGGCAGAAAAAAAGGAAATCCTTGTGAACTCACAGCATGCGTTTCTAGCTAGCTGGTTTCTAGATAGAAATAAACAATATATAAACAAAGTATTTCAACTTTGGATTGTAAGTAGATACTCAACAAAGATTCAATAAAGGTGCATTTACATAACCAGCACATTACATCATTATGAATATGAATATACACAGGGATGATTTCACATTGAGATGTATTTGGGGTCACACTTGCATAATGGGTTCAAACAAGTGCAACTACAAAGATTTTTGTAAATGAAACACATTTTCAGAATTTTGGGGGTTTACATAAAGAATGCTAATCCAATAAAAAATATGATTTTGTTTATACATCCATGATGGTGTTTTAATTTAAATGAGACCAATATAATGTATTTAATAGCTTGAGAGCATGAGTTAATGTAACCTATGTTAATGTTAGCTGTTAGCTTTGGTATAATCAGAACTGAGATAGTGAGGGACTCGACAGACCAGCTGCACTGTAATTAATTATACCCATGAAAATCGTTTACATTTTAAAAAGTGTATTAGTAAGCAAACAAATGTATAATTATTCCACCTACACTACCTATTTTTCAACAGTAACAACTGCAGCCTAATAAAAAATATTTTTAAGTAAAACTTACCTTCCCTGATTGAGTAGTGATTAATAAGTAATACTGTTCAATTTAATTATTAATTATTAAGGTATTAAGTGCTTACAATCTGGTGTTAATATTAGCTACTTTTTGTAAGTAATCAGTTGTATAAAGTGTTGCTAAATATGAGGTAGACTCTACCTAATTTATTTTAGTACATGTTATTGTAAAACGTAGTTACGCTTCACTTTAAAAATGTGGTGAAATCTACCCAAACAAACCGAGTGCAAATTGTTTCCTCACAGTAGATTCTATAGGTTGTTTTTTATAGTGTGGTTGTGACAAATTGCAAAGCTTTATATCTCTTTCACACAAGGATCACATTGTGTGTGTGTGTGTGTGTGTGTGTCTGTGACGTTAGTGTTTGTGCCGCTGTTTCCCAATTAAAACCTATCATGAGGAACACGAGTGTATACATGACTGGCCGAATATCTGAAAAAGAAACCGCCAGCCTATTAGCTGAAAACCTGCCAGTTTGATTGATCTCTCGAGGGAGCAACAATCATTGTGGTAACGTGTTAATGGGAAGCCGATTTGATGCAAACCGGCAGTTATTGCTATTTCCTTACAAAAATAAGCGAGGGATTCTGTTTACTGTCCAGCGTTAACAGTTGGCCAGCGCTCCCCATTACGTTTGCCTTTCTGAATTGCGAACTAAGATACTATCTTTCAAAACGTCAACACACACACACACACACACACACACACACACACACACACACACACACACACACACACACACACACACACACACACAGCTAAGAAGCCTGCTAACAGCAATGATTCAGCACTTGATTTATTTTTTTATCAATTAGGTGCATAAATGGGCCCCTATTAAATCCTGATACTAGCCATGCTAATAAACTTTATCATTCACTTCAAGACCTATAGCCATCGACCATGCTTATATATCGGTAATTTCCAGACCTTTATCTATTGGTCATGCTAATATATTGATATATTGTTTATTTCCAGACGTTTAGCAATTGGCCATGCTAATATATTGCTCGATTACAGACCTTTATCTATTAGCAATGGTAATGTATCATTCATTTTTATTATATATATTAACATTTGGATCTTTATATTGGCTATGTGAAAGTTGCGGTCATCTCCAACCATTTAGTTATCGGCCTGCTAATATATCGGTTATTTCCAGACCTTAAACTTTTCATCCCTGTGATAGACCCTCAAAATAGCCAGCAAATGTTCAGGAATAAACTGAATGTGTGTCACTGTTGCAGCAGAGGATGGTTGACCGGCTCAAGTCGTTGTGACGTTGGCTCTTCTGGTAATTGTCATCCTCTTCATTTTGACTGGAGTGCATTCTGTTTGCTGACTCAGGGCTTCAAGAACACAGCCGGCCCTTCCTAATAGGATTGGGTAGGGTCAAGTGATCCAGCTATTTCCACAAAGGCAGATTAACGGATCCCTATCTATGAACCCGGTTTATTCTCTAAGACATATGTGCCATTTTACCTGTAGTGATGATTTACACTTTGTGACTTCTGGTTTCAGATAAGGAGTCTGGAGTGAAGTGTTTGAAACAAAGAATGTCCCCTAGACTCTTGCAGTTAACCACCAAATAAACATCAAACGACAAACTGTTATATTTGATATTCTTAAGTAAGCTCCGAAGGCCCAGACTAACCATACAGACGTGGAGCCGGCTCACAATCACTGCCTTTTATTTCAATTAAAGTTTTATTAAAATTGTATTTAAACGCTTTCCATTGCAGTCATGTCAGATCAAACTAAGGATTTACATTAAAACACCTTGGACTCAACATACGCTCAAGTCAAACAAACCTCAATCCCCATCTCTGCACACAGGTTCTAAGCCTGTTCTTAATGCTCAAGCCTATTATTAATCAAAAGTGGGCGAGACCACCTACACAGGGTTGAAAGCGAGCAGTGCAAAAGCATGAAAAAGCCCTTCAAGCTTTGTTCTCTCTTTTGAGCAGATTAGATAACCATACTGGGAGTATGAACGTAATAACATTGGAAATACCCATATGCTTGGACGCTTCCTTCCGGTCTTGATTTTTCTGTGTCAGCATTAGGGAACGGCCCCTTGCAATCCCTGTCTACACAAACTACACTTCCCGTGAGTGTACTGCATGGCCGTTCTTAGACCTGATCCGATTTTGGCCATCTGACGGGGCCCGATGAGGAGAAAACTTCTTCATAATCAGATGATGGACTACAGAAGGCCGACTCAAGCAGCCAGTGGCCATTTCATTAGCCAATCTCTCCGTTGCCTTTGCTGGGTATTGAGCGGTGGAAGCAATGCAGAGGTGGAGACTGGATGGACAGAAGCAAATGAAGGGGAGAGGGAGGACAATACGAGCAAGGAGAAGAAATAGAAAAGGGGTCTCCCTCTGGTTGGCAGAATGCTGTATTTATTGTGATGAACTTCCAGGGCTATGGTTCTTTAAAAAAAGGTATTCATAGCCTCAAAAGTATTCACCACAAAAACTCAGTGCCAAACGGCATCATCCAAACATCATTGCAATCTGGTACATATTAGGATAATGAGGAATAGTTTTTTTTCTCCTAATACTTATCCCCGATCCCATACAAGGCATCCCTTACAGGCCATAATGTCCATAAGTGTCCCCTTCTATCACTTGTTTTAATACAACCTAAGTGCCATATGGCAACTGGAAACTGAGGCAACCAATCCATTGATTTATGATTTATGTATTTGTTTATGGTCTCAGTCTCTAGTTTCCTGATGGTCCATTTAGATTCTAATAGACCATAACACAGGGTATTTTCTAGGGTGGGGCTACCGTGATTGACAGGTTGGTACCACTGCCGTTTTTGTGGTACTAAAAGACACTCTAGGAGTCTGCTGGCCTATGCTTGGAAACAAAATCTATATAATTTCAACTGATAATGAACAAATCTGTGGCTTTTACACAGGCACTGTGTAAAAGCTGGACTCCATCTCCATCTCCTGATGGACGTACTTCCTAGAAGAGAAAAGGTTTTAACCCAATGGTTAAGGTCTGTTAATGATTCTTAACATTACATATATTTAAAACAGCTCTAATAGAGTAGAAATCACCACAGCAATATCACAGAAAGGATTAATCAATATTTCACTGCAATCCTGCCGCCGTTTTTTTATTTCTTCACTTTTCTGTCTCTGCACTGTAAATGATCTCACTGAGGTTCACCATGAGGATAATCCAAAATAGCCAAATAGGCATGACTGTCATGGGTGGATGAGGGTATCTAGACAAGACGGGGAAGGATGTGGCAGTAAGGAGGCGGAAGAGGCGGAGTGGATTTGAAGGGCAAGGAGAGGTGAAGGGAATAAAATGAAAGGAGGGGCAAATGTGAGATGCTGCTGGTCTCACACACAAGCTTGGACGATCTGTGAGGTTGATGAAGAGGGAGGAGGGAAATGAGTAAGAGGAGTGAGCGCATGCGCGGAAGTGCCGTTCTTTGTCAGGGTGATGGATTGCCTCTTCTATGCCACGCATTTTCTAATCAACTCGCAGCCACATCCTCTAGGAGGAGAGAGAGAGAGAGACACACACACACACACACACACACAAAGAAAAGCTGTCTAACAAAGGAAGACAAAGGAACCAGCGAATAATAGAGAGGAATAGATAAAGCGAATGCAGTCCATAGGAGCAGAGTGTAGTGGCTGGAGGGTTTGTAGGACCTGCTGCTGCTAAAGACACTGACACACGGCATTACACAACCCAACACACTACAAATAACACCGCCCTGTAAACCACGCAGAACCAATCACCCAACCGACGCACCACCACACAGCACAGCTTCGTGTCCGCGATTCAGTACAGTGGAATGTTACAGACCAAAACCAATAAGCCTGCACTTATATTAGAAAAAACTGAGATTCTGTTCAATTAAGGATTGAGTATACAGTAAATACATATTTTTTTAGTGTCAGGATTGCTTCATTACAATTATTCTGTTGTTCTTATATTTGGATATTTTTTCCCTATTCTCTTTTTCTTATTAGTCTGTTGTAAGCTCTGATGAATCTCTGGCAGTAGATTTTCCTTTGGGATGAACACGGTTTTATCTTAAAGGGAGGATTTGACTCATGGGCCTCCTGCATCCATTTCTGTCATTTGACACCATTCAAAAAACACACACACGGACAGTAGTGCGAGCCTCTGTCGCAATACTTACTAAAACGCAGATGTAT